TGGTAACGTAATCATAAAACATCAAGTAGATTATTATAATGAAATTTGAAACCTACGTGTGCATCCCATTTGTATCAAATAGAGATAATCGTGAATAGTTACTTGACCCATCTCAACGAAAGCAAGAATAAAACGGAGAATCTAAAACATAACAAGGAAAAAATTTCCGAAACATTGAAGTTTTAATAAGTATTTATCTATAGAAGACCACTACGATAATCTAATTAGTCAAAGCAATACGTTTCAGATGATAAGACTGCACTTATGTATGTCGAATATTGGCTTTTAGAATCACGGATACACAGTAGTGATCGTTGAGTTGTCCCATCTAATCGATCCAGTGACGACCATGCTAATAATGACAAGTGGGATCACCTGAATCCTCCACGGCTAAGGCATATAGTGCCCTATCCACCGACTTGGAATTTGACCTCACCAGCGTCTAGTCGTTTTCAGAACTATACTAAAAGTGTTGAAATATGTAGAAGATATAAATTCCAATGTCTTCAGTGATGACCAGTTTGCCTCTTGAAAACTCAACCTGAAACAAACAATTTCTGAATGACCAATTAAGCACCAATTACCGCAACTTAGTTCCATCTTTCACTCTCCTCACAATGCGTTATTTTTCTATAAATGAGAATATTTCAACAAAGCTTTAGTCCAAAACTTCAAAAAGAACGATAATAATGCGGTACGTACCAAAAAAAAATTAAAAAAAAAAATAGACAATGACTTTTTATGAAATATTTATTCTCCAACAACATCAACAATAAAACATCCGTCATTACTTATACTTTATTGAAAGCTACAATGTCAACCGATTGCACTAAATCATCGAAGCCCATAATTTGCTCTTCTAACCAATCTGAGGATACTTTCTCATCTTCCACCACACAACAGATCTAAAAAAAGCAACTTTCTTTAAACTGTTTAAAATAGTATTTCTAAAACTATTCAAATAGTCCCAGCATTTGAATTAGAATATTGCCATCTCCCAATGTTCTACTAAATTTTTCTTTACTAACAAATCTTCCATTTTAATCTGCACTCCATTTTGAGCTGACTCTGCTATAAGCAAGATTTACACTATGGCGGCGTTATACATTTTATTTTATTGTCATTTCATTGCATCAATATTATTTATGTATTATTTTCTTTAGATCTGCTATGTTATAAATTCTCTATTTAAATTTGCAGTTGCTCCTTTTATCTTCAGCCGACTTGCGAAAGTTGTAAAGCAAACTCCATACTTGAAGTTTTTTTATGCCATAAGCCACGGGCAAAACTTTTGCTGCTCCCCATACAAGCCCATCCAATTCGATCGTTCTTATACTCTTCTCGATATCGGCTATTTCAATCGAATCATCCCACGGTTTTACATCAAAAATGATGTTCGACTTGGCAATCACAGCGGGCTTTTTCGCTTTCTTCTCTTCATATGCCTTCAAAAATTCTTTGTTGGTACATTTTATTTCAATCTTTGTTGAAATCCCAATCTATGTCATCATTTTCTATGTTGTTTTAAAATCATTTAATGTTTTGAAAGGGTTAAGAAACACTAATCGCAAAATTCAAAGCCAATTTTTAACTAGTCAAGAACAAATTAGGGATGCAATCCCTGTGTAGCTTTAAACCAATGAATTACTACCAACTTAACAAAACATCTTATAATTTTTTTCAGTTAACTTCAATAATAGTGATACATCTCGAGGGAGGAGAGAGAAGGGAGAAGTGGGAAAGATTTACGTTAATAATCATAACTCAGCTCAGAACATTTTCCAGATCAGCTACCGCACGTAAAACTTAAATATCACTATTCTTTATAGTTGTAATGCTTTTCACTGTCTCTTTACGTTTAATTGCTTTGGAATGTTTTGGAATCACATTATAAGCATGATCTCTAGCAACTAATAAAACTAATATAGCATAATCGTAATCATATAATCAATTTCGAGCATATACATATATTGGAAGGTTGAAGAGGCAAGCATGTCTGTTTTAAATACTTAAATTTTCAAACAGACACAATTGTCTTATTAATTTCTCAAGTTCCTTTGATATATATGCGATCGTTGTTTCTTTGATCAGCTATTGAGAAATAAAATCCCTTTCTTAAAAGTATTTTCGCATCTGGAACCAGCGAACAGAAAATATAAGGCGGTAAACCGAAACATACTACAGGGCACTCATGTTATTATGTTTCAATTCCAACTAAAACTAATGACCAAATATTTGACTGCGTAGCAGTCTTTATAACAGCCCACACTTATGAGTTGAAGCTCAATACATTAAAGCACTTTTTGTGAAACCACAATTAACTTTACTTTTTGTAATGAAAATGGAGAAGAGAGATACTTCAATTATTTAAAATTCGTTCTTAGACTATAAATGCAACTCTTATCTCCATCTCCTCAATAATTCTATTTGCCCTTAGAATGATCCTCATTAAGATTTAAAGAAAAAAATTTTCTTTAAATCTGGCCTTTCCTTTCTTGCTTAGTTTCGCCACATAACATATCACATGATTTTACATTGAAAAAAATAAGTGTTCACTACGTATTTCTCCCTAAAGCATGTAACATAGAAAAACCAAGAATGAGACGATGAATATACGACTTTTTTTTCTATTTGAAATAAGCGAAAACAAATTTAGACCAACCTTAAGTCGCGCAGCAGTTATGCGTGCTTTTTCATCGTCATCTTCGTCATCAGAGCCGAATAAATCTATGTCTTCGTCAAACTTCTCGAGAACTCCGTTGGCAGAAGTCATCGGAGCAGGCCATCTAGAAGAAAAAGAATTTCCCAAAACTTCATTCATCTTTTGTTTTTCAGAAATTAATTAAGCCTAAAGGTTGATGATTTAATTAAAATATAGATAAGTGCCACGATGCTCATTAAAAAATGATCATCTGCACCTCATGAAAAGATTTTATTCAACCAATACAACATAGGAAAACAAAAAAACTTTTTTTTTATGCATCTCAAGTTAATTTATACATCCTGACTGAATCCAAAATAATTCCTTCAGTAAGATTTTAGACGTGTAAAACTTTTCTGACACAGATACTAGGTTGTGGCTGACTGTATTGCTTACTTTTTAATGTTAGTAAGAGTTACTGCTTTTAAGGGGATACACAAGTTATCAAGCATAGAATTAAAGAAAGCGAAATTAGTTACAATTTTCGCTCTTCATCGTTGAAACTACTTATATTCCGGTACCATCGCAAAACATTAACATATTTCATAGTCGGTTCTGCGCTGAGTGACGCGAACAGCTGCATATCATCGCCAGATGGTGTGTATCTGAAATGCAAGTCACTACATTATTCCCGATCATCAGAAACGAAATAATATGAAATGAAATGGATGATAATGATTACTACCACTTCTTTAAGAATGCTAATGATTTAGAGTTCTTCCGAACAACATCTAATTTTTACTCCTTTCCCTATTTTCTACATTGTCCATGCCAATGATATCTTGCAATAAATCTGTAGAAAATCAATCAGATTAAAGTTATGCATAAGAACAAAAGCACAGACAGTGCCATCACGACATTTCTAAATTGAAGCTATAATGTATTTATCTCTCTCATGAATTTCTCAAAATTTGTAGCATTGCTTTACATCAACCTCAACTAACACTTACTTAATTACTTTAAACAATAAAAACCTACTTCAATAAATTATCAAGAAATCAGCAGAATTTGTTTTAAAAAAATGATCCAAAGAATTAATTACCCAGAAGCATATGCGAAATCTTTCAAATGGCCATCAAAAGCTGCTAATCCATCATCTGTCTTCAAATCATACATTTTAACCAAATTATGAGCAAAGTTTACCTGCAGAAAGAATAAAAGTTTATACTACTAGTTTCAATCTCTAGTGACAAATACGATTTTTTTTTATAATCGTATTACGAAAATTTTCTCGAAATAGAGAGTGTGAAAATGATGCCAAATTACGCAGAAAGCATAACAGAGAAAAAGCCAACACTTATAATTAGTGAAAAATAGAAGAATTAACTGTAGAGACGTTTTAATGAAAATTGAAAAAATGTTCATTAAGACGAAAATATTCATTACCACTTTTCTCAACAGACATTATGCGTAAGAAGTTCCTTCTTAGCAAAAGTGAATTATACCAAATAGATGCATAATGTTAATTCGAAATAAATAAAAAGACAAAAGTGGTCAGCATGTACTGCATCAATATTATTAACAAGCAATATCGAATGCTTTTAAATGATAAATCAGCTAACTGATATTTTAGCACATCAAATAAAAATTGTTTTCAAATATGACAAAAATAAAATTTTCATGAAATTCCAAACCAAGTAATTAAAAAAATAATGTTTAATAATCACTTAGTTAACACTGTTCTCATTATTTTTTCACACAATGCAAATAATAAGAAAGAAAAATTGAATAAGTACTACATACAACAACCTCACTTCTCCAAATATTTCAAGTAACTATTAAAGAAATTACGCTTCAATATACGAAAATATATAGAAGCGTAATCACTTCTTTATATGAAAATCAGTGTGCTTTTTTTTTGATGAATACTGAACGGAATTTAAATCACCAAAAACCAGTCAATTTTTACAAGCATGAAAAATGGAAGAGAATTTTCTCTCAAACCCCCGTGATTTCCCGGACGAGGACAACGCAGCAGCCGGAAATCATCCATAGGGAATTGTCAGTTCAGGAATTTAGCACTTTTCTATCGTATTTATGCCACTGAAATCCCCTCCGTGACTTTAAATCTCTATTGCAGCACAAAAATTTAATCTTTTATTTGGTTTAGGGCTGAAAATTTAGTGGGATTACATTGTCTTCAAGTGTCATTGATTGGTTATTGTTGTTCATTTTCTTTATTTTAGATAATTATGTGGTTAATGAAGCAATTGGAAGCAAAAATTTCTTGAATTATTGAATTGGTCAAAAAAGCGAAACTCATCATTTCCCAAACTGTTAGAGCTAATTACTGCATGGAATGGAAGAAGAAATTGGATACTGGAAGCAAAACTTATATTTGCTCCAGGAAGCTGCACCACGACCATTTCCTGTTAAGTGTTTGGCATCACCGGAATCATCACCACCTCAGGTATCACGTCTACTTTTTTTCACTGAATATTTGTCATGCTTAATTACCATTATAGTAGTCAACGTGCAATGTTGGTGAGTTAATTATATTATGTAAATTGGTATATGTTATATGTGAAGTTGGTATATATTATATATGGTAAAACTGGCGATGATATTAGAATCGAACAAACTAATATTGAGGTTTGAGACAAAATTGATTTAAAATGCTATCCAGAAATGGAAATAAGCTGAACTGAAGTAAATTGAAATGGTGTTTTGTGAATTTGAAAATGATTTTTTACCAATAGTTGTATTAGTAACACTTATTGTTAGAATGGGTGATGCCATGCTCTTATCCTCTTTTCGTTCTGTAATGCTTAAAATTGATATTTTAGTATGGCACTGAATTTCATGGTTTAATCGAGCGTGAAGTAGCCGACAATATGTTGCTGGAAGCTGGTGAAGGCGCTTTTTTGGTCCGTGCATCCAGACGTTCACCAGGCGCTAATACACTATGTATGTTCTTCGATGGACGTGTATTAAATTATAAGTTATTCTATGATGGCATGCATTATGTTGGCGAAAAAAGGTGAATAACTGTTGTTTATGTTATTTGAAATTACATCATAGTGTTGATGTTCGTGGTTTTTTCTCACATCATATGATTAACCATTCATACTTCTTGATGTTTCATTGGTTTTTTGTACGGCATGTAGGGTATAAGAAATTAGAGGTTAATTTATTGCTTTGGAGTAATTTCATCGTATTAGGTTTTAATCTCTAAGCTGACATAGGTTAGCAGTATTAAAATTATTATTAAAGGATAAATGAAACGGATTTTGAGGAACTTTTCAAACGGATATACAATGGATTAAAAATTATATTGTTGGTACTAAATTAAATCTCTGTTTTCAAGCAAAAATATAAGAAATGCCATATTTGAAGGATGAGCAGAAATGATTAATCTTGATAGCAGTATTTCTGTCCCAATAAATTCAGATTCGAACATTTGGAGGATTTAGTCGCAGATGGATTGATAACGATGCATATGGAGAAACATGCAAATGATTATATACAGCGTATGGCTGATGAAGCAATTTATGAGCAAAGCCCTTATTCGCAATATCAAAAAGCAACTGACTGTCGACGCCAGCCATGTGCTCGGTGTCATAATTTCACACCGGCTACATTTCGGATACCACATTATTGCGATTATTGTCGCAATTTTATGTGGGGGCTTGTTCAGCAGGTTCGTTCTTCGTTGTTATCCATTGATGAATTTTTCATCACTTCTGTTTTTTTTTCTTTTTTTTTTTTTCACAAATAAAGTTTCTACGTCTCTTCATAAATAGAATCATGTGGTATTCTAAAGTTTCATTTCACTTCAAAAAAAAGATTGATAAAATAACATAGTTCCATGTTTTCCCATTTTTCAAAATACTGATTTTTAAAGCACACTCGATCATTATACTCATAATTTTACTTAAATTACTCAAAAAATAAAAATAAAATAATATTTCAAATGTAATGGTAATTTCAGGGTGTTAAGTGTGAAGATTGTGGTTTTTGTGCGCATAAAAAATGCAGTGAGCGTACTATACATGATTGCCGACCGGAGGCGAAATATGTAAAGCGGATGTTTGCTGTGGATATCAGTACCTTATGTATGGCGCACGCTGTAAGCATTCCACCTGTTGTTTCTGCTTGTATTACGGAGGTTGAACGACGTGGTTTGTTTGTGGAAGGAATCTATAGGGTTTGTTTAGTCTCTTTTTAAATAATTTAATGTTTTCATTGGTAATTAAGATAATAAGAAAGAAGCAGTAGATAAAACAAATCTTTTTGTATGTATGTGTATAGAAAGGTTTAACTTCGTTTTCTCTTTATTGTGCTTCCTGATTTCAGTAAGTAAACTGAACAAATAAAAATAAATATTCGAATTGTGGAGTCATCGTACACCATTGCATAATTCCAAGAAATTGATCAAACTAGAATTCCATTTTAGGTATCCGGTTCTCATGAACAAATGGAAAGATTACGTCGGCAGTTCGATACCCTGCATAAAGTTGATCTCTCAATTGTTGAAGATATTCATACTGTAGCTGGCCTTCTAAAGCTGTATCTCAGGCTTTTACCGCAGCAACTTGTGCCATTTTCTGTATATCGTTCCTTACTTACTGCTTACACTAATAATCGAGCTTTCCACGAACGATCAAAAATGTGCAGGTGTATTGCTGATGTTGTTTTCTAGCAAAGGAATATTAACTATTTAGAAGATAATGCAAGAGCTACTTCATATACCTATCAAAAATCTAGATACTAAAATATCGGGTAATTGTGGGTAAGATATCTACAATGAAAAGTATGGGATTGCGTCGATTTGTTTTGGGGCTATCAGTCCTTAGATTTCTGCTACACAACTGCGATTTTTTATGTATTCTAGGAAAAAATCATTTATTAATAGGTGATAACGAGTTTTTATAGCTTAAATTACTGAACAGGTGGATCAGTTCTTTTTTCTGGCTATCATGATGTGAAGGGAATTCTCAGTGTTCCTTATTCTTCATGATTTGCCAGTTGAAAAATTACTAAAATTTATTTTGTAATTTCTAAGAATTTTTTCAGGAAGGTTTTAAAAGAATTAAATGAAGCAAATGGCCGTACACTGCTAGCAATATTGATGCATATGCAAAGAGTGGCTGATAATAGTGGAGAAAATAAAATGAGTGTCGAAAATCTGGCAACCATATTTTCACCTACATTATTTTGTACCGGTACCGTTCCAGCATTACCCCAACAGCAGCACCAACTTCTTCATTTTCTTATCCAAAATCCCAGGATTGTCCCATTTTCTTAATAAATGATTCTTTTCGGATTCACTATATTAATCATATCTACTCTTTTATCCAGGCATGTCATCATCATAAGTTTTGATAAACGATGACATATGGAATTTTGATGAACGAGGGCTTTCATGGAAAATTATGGGTTTTTCTTTTAGTATGGAATTTCGGAAAAGCCGATTTTAGTATACTTTGGTCAATTTTGTGTATTTATCGTGCTATCATTTGTTTGTTGTTTGTATAAAGTACAAATTGATGTGATAATTGGCTCAGGTATACTATTTCAAGAATAGTCAAATGTATTTTGGAGCGAAACAGTTAGGCCGGCCCAACAAATAAGAATTTCATTGTTAGGTTTGTTTTTTGAAAACGTGGGTTCGTTGATTTGTTTTTGTTAGTGTTTAGTTTTTTGTTGCGTGACTATGATCTTTGTCTTTTAGGAAAAGATCATTTATGACTAGGTAGTAAGAGGGTTTTTAGGTCATTTTTTGGATCACATTAATTCGCAGTCACTAAGGTATGCAAAAAATTTTTACTGTTATTCTTGTTGTGAATTTGTTAGTTACTCCATGAAGATCATTTATCAGTTGATGGGAAATAATAACTGTCAACTCATTTATTTACATTTCTTCTCATATAGAGACCATCAGTTCTTTGTTCATTGCTCATTTACTGTGTTATAATGCTTGAAATAACCACCTCTTGTTGCTTGTATCTTCTAAAATATGGGAAAAAGGTTTTCATTATAGACATGCTCATTAGGTAAACAGAGAATTTTAGAAATTTCAGGAGTAAGCTAAAAATGAAGAAGCTGCTAAAAATTATCGAAAAGATGAGGCATTCGAAATTTCATCTTGTCCAGTTATTTCATGAGTTAAAAAAACTATAAATCAGTTTGTGATCAATATTATATATACTATCGTATTATACTAGTAGAAAATTAGCTTATACTTTTAAATGCATAAATTGCATTTCTCATTAGGTTCTCTTCGTACCACATCCTAATTTCATGGCCATTCTTTCTCTTTTATTTCGCTTTCGAGTTCATTATACTGTGCTTTGCATGAAAAGTGATGTGTAACTAATACTTAACTAATATTTATGTACACTTATAGATATTTGAAAATGTACTCACTTCAAAGTTCGTCTTACCTATTTATTCCTTTGCTGTTTATAAAATAACGGTTATACGTTCTGTGGTGCCCAATCAAATTTCGAAGAGAGCAAAGGGGCTTACTCTCTTAACTGGCAGAAGAAATTTCCAATGTTCCTTCAAGTTTAGTTCTAGAATTTATTTGGAAATATATATAAATGTGCTTCATAATGCTTCCATAGGGTTAGTATTAAATAATATCACGAACAACTGCTGGCTAAATTCCGCGAAATACATAGATGGGTGGGGATTCTTCTCGGTTATAATTTTTGGCGAAGCTAAAGATAGTACATTCTTAATAACTTGGATGAACTTGAATGGATCAAGCCTGACAAAAACCCTCGTTAAAGCATAATGTATAAATATATGCTTTAATCGGACAAAGCGAAAATTTGTTTCACTTAACATTATTTCCAACTACAGAAATGGATTATCCAACTTCTCAGATGCATTGACAAACACACTTTTCAACTGTGAAAAAGCTTCCAGAGCTGCAATACCATTTTCACGTCCGAAACCTGACTGTTTCATACCACCGAAAGGTATCATTGCATCTTAAAAAAGATTTCTATAGCACCACCCTATAGCTTAAAAAGATGAAATTTTGAATAGAACTTCGCACTCCAAAATAGATCATCCCTTCTCAGCCAACAACAACCATCAACCAATATTACACAACAGAAAGATCTATTTGGATGAAGTCCCAACTAGTTTGGAAATAATTCATATTCATTCTGTGTCCTTAAACAAACTTACTTGTGATATTGAATGTATTTACATAAATGTTGCCAGCGTGAAGTTTTGAAGCCAGTGAATATGCCAGATGTAAGTTCCTGAAGGGAAGGCAGCTGATATAAGTAAATATAAATTTAAAGGCTAAATTCTAACGGTTCAATAAAGCACACCTCGTAAAAACACCAGCAGCAAGTCCATAAAGCGTATCATTTGCCATACGAATAGCATCCTGAAATTTCAATTTTTACAAAATTTTTTAAATTTAAAGACACACATGTAACTTATTGCAAGAAGATTGAAGCTAGAACCGGAAGTACTTTAAATAAATCCGAACATCAATATAACACAGGCTTACCTCGTTGTTCTGGAATGGAATAATTAACATGGCAGCTCCAAAGACCTCCTCTTTATAAATCTTCATTTGCTCGTTGATGGAATCCAGAATAGCAGGTGATAAATAATAGCCGTTTTCGAGACCTTTAACTTTTACCTCGTCACCTCCACATAGCAGTTTGGCACCCTTCAAAGTCGAAAATCAATCCTGCATGTTAACAGAATATCTTACCACTAACTTTCCCAAATTTGACTTCCAACAAACTTTGTGAAACGAAACCTTTTATTTTTCTGTTCCCCCAAAAGCTAAAGCAATCCAAATAACCTGTTGTACAGCTTCACTGATGTAAGTTTTAACTTTGTTTAAATGTTCACGAGAGATTGTTGCACCTATTTTTGTCTCCTTTAATAACGGATCACCGATCGCCAAGTTCTTCGTTTGTTTTACAACCTTTTGTCGAAATTCATCATAACGTGACACATGTACGAGGACTTTTGATGCATTCGAACATACCTCACCTTGACTACAAATGTTTTTCAGTACTTTTTCTTACTTATCTGATAGCTGATTAACTGAATCTTTACTAATTCTTTTTCCTATCCAAATTTTCGAAAAAAAGTGATAGCAGTCAATTTTATGACTTAAAAGTAGTGAAATGTACTGAAACAACAAAAATAGTTCAGATAAAAAGAGATGACTGTTTAAAAAAAAAGATAAATTAATCATATCATATATGAGAATTTAAAAACATGCCAAGCACATATACGCTTATAGTAAACTTACGCGAAAAAATTGGCCATGAGAGCACCTGTAACAGCGACATCGATATCTGCATCTTCACAAATGATCATCGCACTTTTTCCACCCAACTCTAATGTTACTGGCTTGATTCGATCCAACAAGCTACAGGATGCCAGGATTTTAGATCCAGTTGCGGTACTGCCAGTAAATGTGACCTTATTAATTCCTCCATGTTCGCATATCGCTTGACCTGTTTCACCTTCACCCTGAAATATTTTAGCTTATTCCGAACAGTCACTGAAATCATTGATTAAAATGTGATTGAAACTGATAAACTTAGTTTCTTAACGTGTATTTCTCAGTGACTATTCAGATGAATTACATCTTATATCCACAGCAGTGGAACATATCTTCTGTACATAGTTAATAACTATGTTATAATAACTAATTATAGCAACTGATATGCATCTGTGGAATACACGGCGCTGTACCGATTCCTAACTCTACTGTCATAAATATAAGTAGTATTATTCGGGAAAATAAAACTATATAAGCCTAATTTTTACCAAGTCAGTAAGAAATTTTAATTTAAATTGTAACCTAAACAAAAGTAATAAAATTATATACCTGAAAAGAATTCACAAAAACTGCTTCAAGAAACTGAGAAATTTTTAATAATTATTCATTAATAACTTCCCTGTCTAAATTTTAGTATTTTCAGAAATACACCAAAATACATCAGTAAAATACACAAAAAAATACCTGTAAAACGGATAGTACACCATCAGGAAGACCTGCAGCTTGAAGGATTTGGGCTAATACTACAGAAGTTATGGGTGCAAAAGGTGATGGTTTGTAGAGCACTGCGTTACCACACATTAATGCTGGCGCAATTTTCCACGATGCTGTCAGCATTGGATAATTCCAAACACCAATTGCACCAACAACACCCCATGGTACACGTTCCGTATACGCATAATTATCGTTACTTAACGGGAAATGATTGCCTGTAATAGGAAATAATTGGCTAGCAACATTAGACATTTGGTAGTAAATATAATATGTATATTCAAAAAAATTGGAAAAATGATTTCGATCAACATATGAAAGGATTGGAATACTCATAATGACACTTTAATAAAAGAATTTGAGGAAATTTTATATAGCTGCAAAATTTAAGGAGTTAGAAAAAAAAAAAACATTTAATTGAGGAATCAAGAAATTTTTACCAGCAATATTATGCAAAGCACCACCGAAGAACTCGAAGGTATCTGCAGAACCGATCATATCCCATCGTGATTCCTCAATTGGTTTACCGCAGTCAATTGTTTCCAAATATGCTAAGTCGTCTTCGACACTCTAGAATATTGGAGGAATGAAAATTCATGAATATTTTTGAAAGTTAAGTGATAAAATTAAACTGAAAACTATAATAAAAGAGCCAAGCAGTTAAAAGTATTTCGTTGAAACTTGCGGTAAAAATATTAAAAGAGTCGAAAGCAAAGCATATGCAAGGATTGAAATGAGCAGTATTCACATTGTGCTTGTACATTAGTATGATACCTAAATTTTAATGACAACTTGAATTAGTATCAAAAAAAAAAAAAAAAAAAACGAAACAAACGTACGCGTATGATAGAAGCTGCCTGACGTAAAACTGCTCCACGTTGCTGAACATTTAACGCCATCCAGGATTTCTGAGCTTCGCAGGCATCCTTCACGACTTCATCAATCACTTCGGTTTTAGCACAACCGCACCGCGCTAATATCTCACCTGGGAATATCAGGATTTTCCCAAATAATTTCTTATAGCCAAAATATTTGTCTTCATTTAAAAATGATAATTCTATCTTCTTATGACTTTCACCTTCTTTTGATTCTTTTGTAGTAGAGGTCAAAAAAAAAATTTCTTCCAATTTTTTTTATTTTTCAAAAACTTTAGGAAGAAGTGAGAGGTTTGAAAAAAAAATTACCAATAATTTTCTATTTTAATAATATGCGTGGATGTATGTATATATATATGCAATAATAACTATTTAACTTTTTGATTTTAGATATTTCAATGCTAAATACTAGTTTTAACTGATAACACTACGATAACTTTGATATTGAAATATATATATATATATATATATATATATATATATAGTAATTATATTGAACTGGAATTCAAGAAAAACCAAAAATCGAAATCACTGAAATAACAGCAATAATTTTGTTCTGATAAATAGGTTTATTCACAAAAGAGCATGTGAAATAAGCAGTTGTAATAACAAGATAATTTACAAATGTTGTTATTTGCAGTATGTACGAAAATATCAAAAAGATTTGAAAGTAAAGATTTTAACTGAAAGCGAATTTTGACAAATCCCTAACCATTTCTCGGTTGATAAATATCGAAATGTTCGGTTGCCGTAAGTGCTACACGAGATCCACGTATGAAATGTAATGCGTTATCGATTGTCTTCGGAACGGCGAATTTTACTAACGGCATGCAAAATCTGGCGAAATGAAGTTTCAAATATTTAGAATGGATTAATTTAGCAGGATGCGAACCTGGCATATTTTGTGGCACTGGTAATGAGCGCTTCCGATAGTATTCCTCCCAGAAAGGTAAAATTTCCCCATTTGAATCATTGAAATTTAAGTGATGTGATGGACAGAAATCATGAATGCCAGCAGCTTCATATGATTTCGTTATCAACTGACAGCAGTAGAATGCTTCATCACCTTTAGAGTTACGCATATTTGGCGAGAAAATATCGTTATAATTAGCGCCAAGTTTAGATTTTGCCCACTGACTTGCACTGATACGCACTGCTTGTGGTACCTGAGCTCGATACACCTCGAAACTTTCAGGATGTAGCTTTTCTACTACATTAATTAAAAGTTCCTGGCAAACACCAGATTCACGGGTGGCATGTATCACCCACTGAACGGTATCTTCATACAGCAAAGCTACATGTATTACAGCTTCAGATGCAACACCAGCAACTGCTTCCTCAAATTGTTCGTCACTTTTTCTATTATCACCTTTTTTGAAGAATACAACATCACCAACACCAATATCCACTCCTTTGAGGAACATTGATGAATGCCTATATTTACGATTATGATTAATGATTAAATAATTGACTAGAAAAAAAGAAAAGAAAAATGCGTAGTTCACATCTCGAAATATATATATATATATATATGAAAAATTGCAATAAAATAAAATATTGATATGCATATTTTGAGCCACAAAAAAAATTTTTATCCAAATGACGATTACATTCGTAAAGAAAAAAGATGGATGAAAAGAAAGAATCAAAATTATTAAGAACTTGAATATCTATCTTAACAAGTGCATCAAACAATTATTGTTTCATTCGTAAATCTCAATTAAATAAACACAGAAATTAGCCTTGTGAATAGCTATGAAATTCAGTATCGCTCGCAGTATTTAAATAAATATTAATCTCTTACGTAATTTTATTAATGTAATGTGAAAGTGGATGTTATATAAGCATCTACCATGATATTAACTTTTACTGGTGATGCTGGAAATTTATGCATGTATTAGGGGCAATACAACTTCAACCAAAACCTAACATTACTTTTTTCCACTTTTTTAAAATTTATTTTTATTACGGTTATTTATTAATACCAAATACGAAATGATGAATGGGCCATTATTCCAGTAGTCAGTGATAAAATGAACTAGATATTTATCCATAAAATACATTATACAAACTATATAAGGATGTATATTTGTGTAGTATTTTATAGGTCCACCAATACATTCTCATAAAACAAGATTTAAAATAATTCAAAGATCACCACCATATTCTCATCAAAAGATTTAAAATAAAAGCTCATAATATGTTTATATATTAGAAATTTTTTAAATAATAAGGGAAAGCATAAGATTTGATATGATGTTAATTTAATAAATGAACTGATCATTAACACTGCATAATCTAATTCCTCAAACAAAGTTCTTTTTTAACATAAAAATGATAGATGGCATGTGATTCCTAGTGCTCATCTTAACCAGATGAATGTTGCTATGACGATTTTCCTGGCATTTTAAAGTTGAACAGAAAGCTGTAAATTAGAAACAATTGAAAAAGGTGAACTGAAATGTCATTGAAGGAATTCATCCTTAAATACTGTAACAATTAAAAAAACTGGAGACAAATGTTTCTATTCTGTCATGTGCACTATCCAACACTTTTTTCTTTTTAGAATGAAAAAGAATTATACATGAAATTTTCATTTGATGCTACTTCATTGATACTGCATAAGGAAAACGACGGAGAGATATATAATGAAGCCAACAAAATTAAGTAGATATCGGACCTTTTACAGTTAATCTAAAATTTCAAAAAATCATTACTCTACGATTTATTTTACGCTAACTAATACTACATTCCGTTTGGTTTATTTTTTGTCAAAAATCGCCTTTCAAATTTGTACCAATCAAGAAGAGTATGATTGCAAAACTGATCTAAATATGTTATACGGTAAATCTCATCGCTCAAATGTATGCACATTTGTTCTTTGTGATAAAGAAATGCGATCAACAATAAAGAAATGATATTCAGATAAAAATATACTTCTGAAAGATTATAGCTTTATATCATAATACAGATGAACATACAAATTCATGTTCATTATACAATAGAATGATATTATAGGGAAGAAAAAAAAAGATGAGCAAAGAATAGAAGTCAAAAATAACGAAGATCTAATTGGTTTCACATAAACCAAGAAACTGAAGGACTACAAGAAAGAGATAAACGATTTGAAAAACGAAAAGGATCTACCTAATATCACTATTTGAAAACAAGAAAGAAAAAAGAATGAACAAACTTATATCGTTACTGCGTTTTGGAAAACGAATAACATTTCAACAATGCTCTTCAATGTATACCTATTCGAATGTATTTATTTGTTATGGAATAATGATTGGACAAAAAAGACATACAGAGTCTATTGCTATCAAAAGTTTAACTGATTAAAATATTTACAAAGAGTTCAAATTTACAGTCGCATCAAGTGATAAGATTGCATTCATAAAGTAGAAAACAAATTTGAAAATAAAAACCCTTATCTGTTCCATCTTTTATAACACCAGTTATTAGCATCAGGATACGACTGTTCGATCGGACACAGAAATAATTTTGCTTAAACGTGATCATGGATAAAAGCAACCCTTACTTCGTGCTACTGTAGTTTTAGAAAACCACTTCAGAAATCCTAAATTAGAAAAAAAAAATCTTCCCAAATTTATTTTACAGTGAATTAACAAAACTATGAAAAATTGACATTATTAGATAAGAAAAATTTAATAAAGGAGCCATAAAAGCTAATAAATATTATTGTGTATATAAAATAAATAAACAATAAAAAAAAAAAAAAACTGTTGAAAATATTACGTATCTAGGTTAAGCTCCATGTTAAGCACTTTTAACACGTTATACGGTAAATGGTCGCGAATAACAGCACTTGACAGCTTGATCTCATTAAGCGAACTGCATTATAAGGTAATTAAAAATACAAAGAAATCAAAATTTCTTTCTTTAACTTATTTTCATTATGAAATTATTTGGGACAAAACCTAACAAATTTTTCGCAACTTATTTCCTCCTTAATAAAAAAATCGTGTGCAGTCCTGTTGCCATCTTTAAAAAAAGAAGAAAAATAATTACCTGTAATGAGCCCATCTTTTACAAATTTTCTGGTTATCAATCACCCAGACATGAAGGAGACATCCTGGTGGAAGGAGCTGCAAAATTACTTGATTTAAGTTCAAACTGTAAACTCTGGAAAGTTTACAATTAAAAGACAGGCAAATTTACTTTTAATTTACTGAAAATCGTCTTGAAATAGTAATTTGACTTGCATCTATGACAAATTTTTCCCCATATACCATTAGCATGTAAACAATGCCAAAAAAAAAAAAACCAAATACTTTCCTGAGATTATACACCATCAGCATTAACATACCTTCGTCCGCTTTTTTGCCCATCTTTCTGCGGGATTGTTTTCCTCTATATCATCAGCGTTATCATCAAAAATTAACAAAGAAGTATGGAAAACTAATGGTAATCGATCGTTGATATTTACAGCTGCATCCTCTTCATGACCTATTCAGATAAAAAACAATGATTTTAAACAAATTTATCAAAAAACGGTTACACTAACAAAATGAAAAAGAAAGGTCTTATTATAAATGGTCAAACTAATGTGATTAATGTTTCATTACAGTAAAATTTGCTACCTTCCACCATAAATGTTAAAGACCGCTGAATAATTATGAATACCAAAAAATAAAAAAAAAAAAAAATTATAAACCAAATTAATAAACAGACGGGAGATAAAAATACAAGAAAACAAAAAAGATAAAAAAGAACTATCAAAGTTATAGCTTCAACAACAAATAAATATAGCCTTAAATTATGACTAACTTTTCATCCCTCAAAGTCTCTGAATAAAAACAAAAAACACATAGCTAAAATTTTGAAGCTGATATACACCAGCTCATATTATTGCTATTTTTGGCGCCCAAAAAACTTCAGAAAAATAAATTCATTTAAATTGTAATAAAAATGGAACGAACTATCTCGATCCGGTTGCCACGGAGGAGAAAAGCACAATCGATAAAAGCCACGAAGAAGAACTTTATATTTCGGTAAATTACTACATGCTAACGACATTATTACATCATATTTCAATTTGCATAACGTCTGAAAATTAAAAAGAAAAATAAAGAGGAAGAAAAAGTTCTGCTCCTAGACAAACACTAAAATTTGTAATAATAACTTTCATAATACGCAAAATCGCCTAGTTATGCTGATAAAGAATCATCGTTTGGATAATAGCAATTACATTTTAAAACATGATCCTTTTATCTGACACATATTAATAGCATCACTGAAACCAACTTCATTTTATAGGCTAATACTTAACTAATGTAACGCATTATTCCTTTTTTTTTTCTTCACATTCAAGAATTCTAGCCTCGCTTCCATGATGTAAAAAACACGACTAGTAATACCTAAAGATTTACCTGACAGTTATTCAAACAAGATAGGCAATCATCAGTTCTAATGCATAACATTTTTTATTTTTACGGTTATTTTTTGGATAAGAAAACAGGATCAAAATTACTTGAAATGACAACCGTGGCACAATATCATCACCAATGTAAACACTAAATACGAATTTTTGCGTCTCTTTTAAACCATTTTCACTGATAACACATCCTGGAGGAGAATAAGCAAAACACCGTATAGGACTGAACGATTGTCTATAAAATAGAACACACTTTTTTGAAAAAACCTAATTCTTGTACTTCTACATACTGTTAGATACTCAACTCAGCAATATTTCAGCAACACTAAACAGAATGCAACACTAACTTCAAGAGCAATGTAAGCAATGTCGCAACTCCAGCACCCAGTGAATGTCCACAACAAACGACTGTAAAATCCGGATATCTCATTTTTAAACCTTCCAAAGTACGGTTTGCACGTAATACTTCAAGCACATACCTTGCACTACGCAACATGCCACGATGTACACGTACTTCCTGGAAATTTTTAAATTCCTGGCCAATTACAATATAGTTTACTTCATTAGTTGGCGGAAATTTGAAAGTCAAATGAAGCGTTAAATTCCAAAAATTACTAGTTTTCCCATTCCACACCTTATCATGAGTATCCAATTTTTCATCTCGAGAAAGAATCGGATCCTGATCAACATCTATTGAAAATGCTTCATCATCAAGCGACAAATCATTAATTGCATCCACCATTGAAGCTGTACCACGTATGGTTATGACAATACTTTTTGCTTTTACGTCTACAAGTACGATAAATGGTACCTAAAAAATAGTATCTGTCATAATAATATAAAAATGACTATTTCTATCCTGCTTAACCGAGATTATTTGCAACAACAGAAAATACTACCTGATAGAGTTCATTTGCAAATGATACGAAAATGACATCAGTTTCCTTACATTCTGTTATCGCAAGGAAAGTAGCTGTAGAACATGCACAGCAATTATCACCTCTAACTGGAAAATTTTGCCTGTAAAATAATTTCTCATGATTACGTGTTCCAGCAATGTTGTTTACCTACCCATTTTGAAAAGTTTAAACAATACATATGCTACATATGCTTTCGCTGTCAAAAATCTAAAAGAATGCCGGATACTTTTCGAAAACTAACCAGATTTCATTACAATAAAGTTTCAAATATCATAAAATCGGAATGTGAACTGATTCTGCCTTACTCACTCGACTAGTTCGAAGAGTTGAGCATGCCTATTGAACTATATACACAAATTCTAATTTACGTGACTATGACTGCAAAAGAAAACAATTTAATTAAAAATTTTGAAGTTCAAAGTGAAAATGGACCTGCTGCAACATTTTCCGCAACACTTGATCTTTTTACATACTTTTAGCCAATCGCAACAACCACAATTGTAAAACATGTAAATTTCCCAGCCATATATAGCCGCTATATACTTCGCCATATAACGCGCATTCTCCAATGTCATCCATTCTGGTGGCTGTATAACTTACTTATATTTCAGTTCAGTCAACTTTAGTTGATTTACAAATAATATATTTTAATATCAATAAATATCAATATATAACAGTCCCATTATCTACCATTATGGACAGTATCATTATATGACAGTAATAAAAGAATTCCAAAAATTTATCTATTTTTGTAGCAATGTAGTACTAGATTCTTTACGAAATTTTCCAAAGAAATGAGTTGTGAAAACCATTAAAATTCTTAAGAAATCATTCATGTCATACACACAAAATTCCTTGTTCTATATTAATATTCTCATCTTCAAGCAGAATCGCTTACAAATCAGGCACGTAAAACCCAAGTATTGATTGAGATGTAAGGATATATTTGCCTGCAATGGTCTGGCACGAGACAGCACTGTAAATATTTTCGAAAATGAGTAAGCCTACATATATTAGGAAATCATCTCAAGTTGTTAAATCACTAAATACTTAGACAATGTTGAAAAAAAGTACTTCAATTTCCGGAACGTAGGTGGTGGAACTTGGTGGTCGATGAGGAGCATGAACAAGCATTAAAAGACCAGCCAGAATATCGGATGCTACTAAATCAACATCAGCAAAAAACGATGTTGTAAGAATAGCAATATCCTTTAAAGCTGCACGCATTTCTTCGTTTCTTGTCAACAAAAACTAAAATTTCCGATGTCAATTTATTTTCTCGAGTAATTTGATAGAATTTAATTTACGAAATGGAAAAAATCGGAATAAAACTAACCAACTTCAGACGTAACAACCAAACTTGATTCTCAGTTCGGAAACTTGGCTGTATACGACTACGACCAGATGGATTAAATACAACGGCAACACCGACTAAAACTGTTATTATGAGAGCCCATTGAAGCATAACTGTTAAACGCAATATAGTAAAAAGACTACATGGAGACGGACTACCTGAAATAAGGAAAAAAATAATTAACTGATTGCTAACAATGTTCCTTTTTTTTTTTTAAATATATAATATTAAAATGACAATCACTGGGCAATCCAACTTAACTCCAGAATTTATTTTCTCAGTTTTCTATCTACCCCTGTCTTCTTTCATTTCCTTCTTTTTCCTCATTTGCTTAATTTAGTTCTCTTCCTTTCGTTTAGCGAAATAATAAAATAAAACCTGCACAGATAAAAAGGATATCGATAACTGAAATTCTAAGATGCTTTAACTGTTAGATTCAAGGGAAAAGATAGAAGGCAGTTAAAAATAAATTTGAGTCTTTGGGATTCAGTAGATTTTAACAGATTAAAAGAAAATTACTGAATGTGAATAACAATCAAAAATAATTATTCGACTTTGATAAGCTTACTGTAAGCAAAGATCGTCGATGAGCCAGTAATGGCAATTTCACAAACAAGCAGTGGCACACGTATATAGATGATTTTCGTGACATGACGTCGCTTGTGTGGTTCCAAGATAGACCCGCGGGAACTAATCAATGCCATGACAAAACATGTTAAAATAATTATACCATTGATGCCAATCAATGAAAAAAGACTAATGAGAAAGTGTTGATCGGTACAACTTTCCCACTTTTTTAACATGAATATGATACATGTTGTTGATATCCTGGAATTATACCACTTCATGCAATTAAAAGCAACATATGCAAACAGTAGAAATCATCACTCTATAATAATATTAAACTTAAATAGTAGTAATTCTTATTAATGATAACAAATACTATAAATGCTAAATCGTGATGACAACTATTTCTGTTTTATTTCATCACTTATTGTTCTTTATTTTCTCACTCAAACTATCTACCAGAAAAAATAGCAACACTCATCATCCAATGATAATATCACGACTAAGTAGCAATAATAATTTTTATTAATGACAATAAATATCATAGCTCTTAACTCTTTAATTTGACACCATTAGCTGTTGCGTTTTGTATTTTGCGTTAAAAGCCAAAATTAAACACTGATAATGAAAAATAAAGGAAGGAAGAAATGAATAGTTCAGTTTGAAACGTTCGATTAATCGTAATGCGAGTATTAAATGATATATAGTGCTGCAAACTGTGGCTATTTTAGCGAGAAAAAAAAATCGAAAAACTCACCACGCTAGGCGAACTAATATTTCGGACAAAGATGGAAATACGAAATCATCACTCGCAATATTCCACCGTCGTCCCAATACAACCAATGACGGCATCTACGATATTCTATCGTCTATCACTAACTCGAATAAATATATTTTAATTAAAATTTACGTAAAATCTTGAAAATTTTTTAAAAAATTTGTAATGAAGTATAATTATACAGATATATTGTGCTTAACCGTATTTTTAATATATATAATATATATATATATATATATATATATATATTTTTTTTTGGATAATGAAAGTAATATTTCGGACAAAGGTGGAAATATGAAGTCATCATTTGTAATATTCCACCGCCTCCCAGTACAGTCAATGACAGCATCTACGATATTCTATCGTATATATATATATATAATTTAATTGTATAAAGCTTCACTTACGATTAATATTAATCGTATTTAAGATATAGTGCATTCATTCAATCTAGTAAAAAAGTAATCCACTGGCAAATTCGTTTTTTCTTTTCTTTCAATTAGACAAGATTTCTAACAAAAACTGGAATTTTTGTACATGCAAAATCCTGAGAAAAGTTATGCAACTACATCAAATTGTTCCTCGATTGATATACCAACTGAATTAAATTGTTTCTCGATTGATATACCTATATAAAATTCACTTTTTTTAAGGACCACCATATATTATTTCGTTGTTCCATGTATAAAATTTAAAATCAAAAAGAGAACTTGATGGTAATCACATGGAAGGGTTACTACTCGTTCAAAAGTTTGAAAAAACATAAATGCCTACCGGATTGTTCAAAGCTAAGATGAAATACGGGAATATAATAATGGCCAGAATATGAAATAGCCTGTAACAGATCAGAATCAATAGGAAGATACCAATAGCCCATAACAGACAGGATCATCAGTAAGGTACCAATCGACCTGTAATGGTTAGGAACTAAAAAAAAAACGCAAAAGTACTGATCCGCTAATGCCTAATATGTGTTTGACGTCAAAATGCATTAAAATGTGAAAACTTTACAAGCATTAGTATTCAACAGAAAAGACCACAAATTAAAACAGTGAAATACTAAACAGATGGATCGATCCGCTTTTTTTTTTTTTTTTTTAACTAACATTTACTTTCGTGTTACTAACATTTACTGGTACCTTCCTTTTTGTTTTTGGATATACCGCAATGTCATCAAAAAAATTGATTACATAGTGAAAGCTAAAGCAAGTTAGTGAAATAAAATTAATTCTAAAGCAATGTTAGTCAAATAAAACTGATTAACTGTATGTATGTAGGCCTTACAGACTCATCGATGAACTTTCTTACCATTATGTAGACAAATTCCACTCGTATCATATTTTAAGACCAGAATTTAACAAAATCCATTTTCAACATATTTACAAAAAACAGCGGTTCATAACAAATACAATTGCTGTATCAGTTGTCAATCCCTATCATCACTTATCAATCAAACGTAAGTATAAGTGAAAATAACTCAAAAAACATTAGGGCTATTTCCTTTCTTATCTGTGTTTTAAATTTGAAATTGTTGAAAATCCATCAAATATCAAAAGATTTCTTTCTTTAATCAGTAAAGATAGCATCATTTGAATAAGTATTACAAAATTTGCTTACAATGAATACAGAAGAAAAAAAAATGAAATTTAACACAACATAAGCAAGTATTAAACACAAACAAATTCAATCAGTTTATAGCTCTATAGACATACGATAAATTGTAAATCAACACACCATACTTCCTTGTAGTCAATCGTACAGAAGCATAAGTGTGAATAATAAAGAACAATGAAGTTAAGTAAATTCAAAACTTACAGAAATTAAGAATTTATAAAAAAAATTATTGATCAAGTAACTAAACCTTATAAATCAAAACTTTGGAGCTTTCAACTTTTAAAAATTGATTGGATGTTTGCTTTACAAGTTATTACTACTTAGTCGATGAAATTTCTTGTCATACAAATAAACACCCACCCAAAAAACGAAAACTAAGAAAGAACTACATGTCTGTGAGAGTGGGCATGACTGCTACACAATGACCAGAAGTTTTGCCAACTGGCCGCTTTTAATTCACGGAAGTCCCGGCTAGCCGTGAAATATTTTATGTTAGCCGTGTAATATAATTTTCATAACTGATTTCAGTGGTAATTGGGAAAAAGTTTGGTTTGTTGCTTTTTACGCTTGCGTGATATGTGGTGCTGCATAGTTCGTTGATGTATTTATTGCGTACAGATAAGGTTATTTGTTAACTGATGAAGAGATAAGGAATGACTATTGTAAATTTTAAAATTTAAGGTCATTGAAACTAGAAATTCCGTCTGTCTCATTTTCATTGCTTCGTCTATTTGCCTATCGTCAATTTTCCTATAGCCATTTGATATCTCAAGGGGAAAATTAAATTCAGTTTGATCTTTTTACATTTTTCATTTTCTGTAAAAATGAATTTGACATAGATTCATAAGATAACAGTAATGCATTTATGATATTTTCACTTTTTATTTACGTTAGAATTTAATGTACAGATTTCTTTTATTATAATTGATATAAGAGATACTTAGAAACTCAGGGATCATAATGTTGTTGATGTTTTAAGATCTAAATAATGTATATTCATAAATATCACTTTATTTGAACTAAATAATTTTGGTATATGATATTTGTATTTGCTAAATACTGTACTGGTTAGTTATCAGATGTTAACAGATATTCCACTAAATGATGATTATTGTTTGTTATTTTTGTGATAAGATAGGAAGTCTCATTTCAGTGGGCGCTGATTTTTTTTAGTTGAATATTTAGTATTATGTGCCTCATTAATTAAATAGTGGATACTGATTATTCCAGTAATTGCATACCTTAAATATTGGTTACTCAGCTCCGTATATATCATTATCAATATTATTCTTGCAGTTGAATTTTCTACGAATATTACCTTTTTCCCAAAGCAGAAGTACTTAATTATATAAAGTTTGCTTGAATTATCACCTGTATTTTCCACGTAGATTCAACAATTTTCCCTAAATTTCTTTTTTTTAATCAAGTTATTTTACTGAAGATAACTTGGAACTAGTTGCCACTTACTTGCATGTAACCTATGAGTATTTATATTATTTCATGGTTTATATTATTCTCGTTCATATTCTTTTTTACTGCTTATAAATGCTTAAAGTGACATATGTTTCTGTTGTAATATCTTGAAAGAGAAGCTTTTGTTTATAAAATACTGTAGTTAAATTTCTGCTTCTTTTCGGATCGACTTTATCGCCTTTGTAGTTGCATACATATAGCTGGAAGCAATTAAAACGTATGGGTGCCTATCTTAGTAAACCAATAACCGAAAAAATATCTGAATGTGGTGGCAATGAGCGAATTTATTATGCTGCGACAAGTATGCAAGGATGGCGCATCAATCAAGAGGTTGTTTGAAAATTTTAAATTAACTAAAATTCAGGTTTACTTTTTCTTTGAATTTCTTAAAGATTGGTGTGTTTCCCTACAGAAATGTGTAGGACCATTTTTGCCCTGACACTTTTATGCTAAGATGTCAGATGAGCACTTTTTGAATTTGATATTTTGGAAGTAGTAAGTTAGGTAAATAGTTTTGTATATTTATATCCTGAAATATTTCGTTTTAGGATGCGCATAATTGTATTATAAATTATGATGAGGATTCTTCTTTTTTCGCAGTGTACGACGGTCATGGAGGTAAATTTCTCAATAATATTTATAATTATTTTCGTGATCAAGTGCTCTAAGTTTTTTTTTTCTTCTTCTTGAGACATATGTTGAATTTTATTAAACAGATATACATTATAGGAAGTGAAGTGGCACAATACAGTGCACACCATTTACCAGATATGTTGAAAGGAAATAATTCATGGTTTTCGGGTAATTACGCAAAAGCTATACAGGATACTTTCTTGGAATTAGATGAATTATTAAGGTTGTAAACAGTCATTTTGGTTATTTTGTTAAAGCATTCACTTGGTTCATTAGGTTTTATTTGCAAGAAATTTCTGACTTCCATGTTTTCGGAGATAAAGTCGGGTACTTTATAGATCCGAAGCAGTTATGAGAGAATTGAAGAAAATGGCAGGTGGTGTAATACCGAAACGTGAAGAATTAAGCGATATTGACGAAGACAAGGTATATTTGACTTTTGTCTAGTTGTGGACTAATTTAGAATAGTGAACATAATTCATCAATATCTCATAAATCACAATTTATCAGTATCGCTCGTTTGTCTTCCATATTCAGCAAGCATTATATGAAGAAGCTGGAATGCCAATTGAAACCATACTGGAGAGATATGGAATTATTTTACATCGAGAGCAGAATGGAAAGCAGGCAGTCATAGATCTTGACGAGTTGCGGGCACAGATTGAACAGCAAGACGGAGGAGAGGATCAGGTGCAGGTAATCACCTATTAGTTTTCTCTCATGTTTACCTCAGTTATTGCCTTGCGCTTAAACTTATTAGTTATCGCCTACTCATTAGTGAATTTGTATGACAATTATATTCTGGATTTCGCAAACCAGTAAACAAGGATTTTATAAAAATGCGAACTTTCATTTATGCTACACTCAGAAAATGGAAGAGTCTGAGGAGAAAATTGAAGAGAACGGATCAAAAGTATTGGAACAGGGAGGAAATCGAAAAGATCAGGATAGCGATACTGTGATCGATAAAGAAGTTAAAGCTGATGAAAATCAGCTCAGAAAGTCGGAAGAAAAGGGACTGGAAGAAAAAGCCAGAAAACGACCCAGTGACTCCTCATCAAGTATCCTGAAAATGAAACGCACCAAATCCTTAGATGGTTTGTGCTGTCAATTTGAAAAATTCAATTTAACTTCGTGCAAATTTTGTTATATTGATTCTCGGCAATCAATATAACAAGTTTAAGGAAGAGTGAATTTCAAAGGAGCTCATTTTCTTTACATATCTGCCTAATTTTTTATTGTCTGTCTTAGTAATCTGATGAGAGCATTGTAATGATTTTGCAGCATTTTAAGATTATATAGGAAGCTATATTAGCATTAATTGCAGATGTTGAAGAAGACATAACAGAAAGTCAGAACAAAGCTACACTCTTAGGTAGATCAGCGGTCGGTGAAACAGTGGCTGTGATTCAAGATGAAAGGTTAATGTTAAACTCGAGCTGTTGTTTTACAGTAACATAACGATATCATTTTTCATCTAATTAATTCAACTGACTTTGTTTTCATTGAATTTTATTAATGAAAACAATAATTGTGATCCTTTTAATAGTTCTCTAATGTTTACTCTTATTTTAGATGCGAAAGTGCTGGGGAAAGTGAAGCGGTAAATAGTGAGCCGGAAGTCGCTGGTCCTGCAGAAGTTGATGCTACTATAACTTCGATCGATTCAGGTGATGGAGATGGCTCTCTGCCATCCGGGGAGATTCCTCATCCTTCTGCGTAAGTAACTATTAATTCCAGTCTTTTTGTCGATAGCTTCATCTGAAAAAATACTTTTAAAGAAAAGTATTCTGCGTTGATTTCTTCTGCACTGGATTTTTTGAAAGAAATGGAAGGAAATAACATATTATTTATAGAATTTTTACAGTGTACGTATCACTTTGAATATTTTAGAACTTTGGAGGGACAAGTTACGTTTTCTTCGGATTCAGAGTCAGTAGATGAAGATTACAATGCTGACGAAGAAATGAGTGATGGTGAAGAGGAGGAGGAAGTGGATGATGAGGAAATTGATGATGTAGGTTCAAAATATCTTGTTAAGTACTAATAAAAACTACTGTATTCTTTCTATTTCGTTATATGTGTGAAATGTACTACATTTATCGTCAGAAACTGTTGAAGTAAATTCAAGTTTTAAAACCGACTAATGGTCAAGATTGCAATAGCAAGATCAAATCTTTCACTAGATATGAGAAAGCAGTTCTGGATGATTGATAATTATTTACTGTCATAACATGTTATTTGAAGTGCAATATTGTAGACTGATCAGGCCTATTCTTGCCCATCGGGTGATACTCCAGGTGAAGATTCAGGCACGACAGCATGCGTTGTCATAGTTTTCAAGGTAATATTTTATTCTGTAATTCTATTACGAGATTTGAATAGCATCTACAGAATATTAGAAATATTACAGAATAAGGTATCATATTCCCATATTTGTAATTCATTAGTGACAGGAATTTGTTTTTTATATTTTCGAAACTTTTACAAGAAAATAATTTTAAATTACGATTACTTATTTTCAAAAGTGTTTCATTGCATATGCTGCTATTTTAGGATAAGGTAGTAGTTGGCAATGCGGGTGATAGTCGGGCAGTGCTGTGTCGTGACGGTATGGCTGTTGAACTGTCGGTTGATCACAAGCCAGAAGATGACACAGGTTTGTTTTTTTTTTCAGTAAAATGTAGAAATTTGACAAAGCCAAATTTTTTCTACTAACTGATCACTTTATTTAAAATATAGAGAAAATTCAGCTTTGTTTATGTCGGCTGTTTACTGAAGCGAGATTTTTTTCTAGAGAGGAGGCGAATTGAAACAGCTGGAGGCGAAATTAGTATCGATGGTCGAGTTAACGGTGGCTTGAATCTTTCCAGGTCAGCTTATTTTTCTTTCCAAGAAGCTGCAGTCATGTGGTTCTCTTTCAAAGAAATCCAGGATTGGTGCATTCCTTTTAAAAAATTTGCTCGAAAGAGTTCCAATGAGTATTGCGATTTTGCGATGCCAAACTCGATGCTTATATGCCCATTTTTTTGATATTCAATCCTTTTCAGAGCCTTAGGTGATCATTTCTATAAGAAAAATGCTGCATTACCATTAAAAGAACAGATGATCTCGGCATTACCGGATGTTAAACAGTACAAAATTTTAGAAGGCGACGAATTTATCATTATTGCTTGCGATGGTATATGGTATGACATATACTTTATTGCTGGAGTTTTCCAAATCTTCAAGTTCTGTTTTATTTTACAATTTTTGCTACCAAGTGATCTGCAACTTCAGGAATTCCCTCACTAGTCAAGAAGCGGTTGATTTCGTACGACGAAGGATAAATGATGGTGTCAATCTAAAGGACATCTGCGAACAGGTTTGTTCGTCGTATCTTTCAGGGATTATGATTAAATAAAATTTCAGATATTTAAAAAAGTATCCTATGCAAATATATCCAATGCATAAAGTGATCTTAATTCTGAATTGAAAAAGACATATTAGATGGATATATAGATCATGTTTCCGGCTTATGTTATACAATTTAGATCACTATAAATTGACTTCTAATTTCGCATTTCAGATGAAAAACTAATTTCTTTGCAAAAAAAAAAAAAAAACGAAATAGCAGAACTACAAAATTTTCTGAAAGGATCTTCAGCATGAACATTCCTGCAGCATTAACATAATTCTTCCCAATTAGAGAAGGCAAATGTTTGAATTTACACAAAAGACAGAGTGCATATCCAAGTGACACATACTGACGATAGAAAAATAAGAGGTGGCTTGGGATGAGAAATCTCTGTAGTAGCAAGATCGAAAGTTACGTGCATGCTTTTCATAAAATAAATCATTTGCAGCAGAGCATTATTTTCTTTTAATAAAATTTTGTATTTAAAAGTAAATGTTCGATTTTAACCGATCACAACTTGGGCAAATATATTGCTGGCAAAGTACAAAAAAGTGCAATATAAATATGCAATGCTATTAGGAAACTGTACTTCTTAATATCGCAAAAAAAAATTAGTTGTAGATTTGTGATCACTGCTTGTCACCAAATACAGCTGGAGATGGTACTGGTTGTGATAATATGACGATAATTGTAGCACAAATATTGCGCTCGGCAACGTCATCCTAATGTTTTTATTTCGTCGTTTAAAGCATTCGAAAATCGTGTTTTTATACCTTCTTTCTCGAAGAGGTCCGTTATTTCACCCTTTTTGTGCATTTGAACAAGAATATCACAACCACCTATGAAGTTGCCATTCACGTAAACCTAAAAGAGAATTTATATAATTTTATTTTCCTTTTCCTTACTTTATATTTGTTACAGAGAGTATGCAGATTAGAAAATATATTCTTTTAAAGGGAAAAAATACATAGCTCGTTTCTATTAGGTACCATTCATTTTATTTATTGTTTTTCTTTCCTCTCATTTTTCGTGAAATTTGTCTTATCATTGCACATTATTTGTGTATATTTTATGATATCTTATAAATGCTTCCATGTTTTGAGGTGAAAAAAGAAAAAAAAAGCAGGTTGGTTGAACATAGAAGAAAAATTATTTTTCTTTCACCAATTGGTGTGAATCGTTATGTTTCATTCTGATGTACGCGTTTTATTTTCCATAAATGAAAATGCCCAGCATTAACTAAAGTTATTTATGCATGGCACTGGTGGTCAAAGAAACGGTTAGAAACATGTTTACATAACATTTATTTGGCAATTTTAACTTTTCTGTTGTAGGTTTTAGAATAAAAGTGAAATTGTCATATCTACCTTTTCGGAATACATTATCTTTTTCAAGAAGTTCAAGTTTCTAGATGAAAAAATTACTTTTATATCTTCACTTTTCCTCTTCAAAGAAAAAACCGCCAAGTAAATAACCAATACATTAGCTTACTTGAGGTATCGTAGGCCAATCACTATATGTTTTAATACCTTCTCTTAGGTCATCATCGCCGAGTACGTTATAATCTTTGAATTTAACCTCATGAAAATCTAATACCTGTAAAGAAAAGACTGAAGAAAATCCCAAAAAGAAAGCATGAGAAATTTTCAAGTTATGTAATACTCTGATAAAAGCGCTTTTATCTGAACTTACGATGAATTAGTATTTTTCAAAATTTAAAAGCTACACAACACAAAAACTGAATTGTCTCCGAGGATTACTAGAACTGTTTTCTTGCTAAAAGTGTTTATGTCGTCATGATATGCTCATGGCAAAAACTCAAATAGTACAGATCGCATATATGAGTGTAAAAATGGCTACCACCATTAGCTAAATAAATCAGATCATCCCAACTTCATAGAATGAAGGAGTCAATAGACTTGATTTTTCATTAACTTGAAAAAATCCAATTAAAACTTTTCTCTTCTGCTTTACCATCAAAAAATTTTTAGAATACCCCTGATCTCTTATTTTGTTTTAATATTTAACTAGAACTCACCAATTTGACATTTTTGCTAAAGCCGCACATTGGTTCCAGCTGCGTACCTTTCATGAAAACTACTACCGGAGCAGATGAGATCATATTTTCAATTCGCATTTTCAACGCTTCAGGTAACGGTATTGACGATGCAGAGGAAAAAAGATATGAACCGGGTGCACGAAATGCAACTTGCCTAATAATTTTTGTCAAGCCAAACATCTGCAATTAAAATTAGCGCTATTGCCCTTAAATTTAGGCTTTGTGTGCCGCAGTATTTTCATTTCAGATAATTCAGTTCAATTAGAGTAGCAAATGGTCAGTGGGACCACTTAGTGTAGCATAAAGACTAATCATACATAACCTTAAGGTGATAAATCTTAAGATTATATATCAATATGTTATGGTGCACATTCCCTCCACTTTTTCCTTTCCAGAGCAATAGATCGATAATTTTGTGGAGTCATTCTATAAGGTTAATTCGAACCCCATACAACCTACTAAAAATCTAAAACAACAAAGAGTTAAAAATCTCATAAACGGAGGAATAAAGAAAAGTCACAAAATAATACATGGATGTTCAATTTAAACTGTTTCTGAAGATCTGAAATTAACTCATAAGAAAAACCCAGTAATGCATTGCCCCAAGCAGCATAATTATTAGAAACAATAAAGAGAGAAGCAAAAACAACTGAAATGAGCATCAAGAGTATAATTCGCAGCGCAGATTCGCTCCACGACGTATATGTTGTGCCATGACTTCATCTAGCAACAACAATAGCCGTGTATTACGAAACTTTACCAGAAAGTATTAGAATTACACAACTAAATTATCCCTAGTTCACAAGTCCTCTCATCTTTCAGTAACGATCACCAGTAGCATAACATACAAAACAAAAAAAAAAAATGCTTGGAATTAAACCTTTCTGAAGTAATAAAAGCCAAGAAATATTAACTTATCAGATCGGTTTATGAAAACTGAATGCGTCACCCAGTGATAACTGCAAAATAAAGCTATCTTGAATTAAAAAAGAGAAAAAAAAAAGAAAACGAAACGAACATTAAGGTGAATTCTCAGGTTCAATCATTTCGAAGAAAGAATGATCGTTACTTTATACAGCTAGAACAGCGTGTCAACAGAATTTTTCAAAACTACTTTTTCCTTTCTAAATCACATTCAGTAAAACGGATGGTAAGTCAATTAATCAGAATGTACTACAAAATGAAAAAAATCAAAACCTGTGGCAATTTCAACTCAAAAATAAGTAAGTGGATGAAAAGTACTATAAACAATAATTAAAGCTTGTGATAGAGAGAAAAAAAGTGAAACAGAGTTATCGCTTCTCTTCTTTGATTATAAATTTTAAAGTTACGAAAAGAAAAATAAGCTACATTTCAAATAACAATATAATATCAAAAGGATACAATGGCCTTCACAGAAAGTAGTCCGGCTGAGGCTTTTTCGCTGGAGCACCGCGATTTTCCTGCAAAAAAAGTACATAAGAGTTAATTTGTTGAAATTAGTCATTTCTAATACCTGCGTTAAATTGATTTTAGTTCCCAATTAATTCTCTATGTAACTTGAAATTCAATTCCTTGTGGCATATTAGCCATGTATAGAAAGTGAGTGTTAAATTACAAAAGATATCAAATCTTAATGGTCAGAAAAAAGATCGTATGATGCGAAGAATTTCTTCTAATCTCTAAATTTTCAAATTTTATCAAGAAAAAAAAGTTGATGAATAAACCTGTGGTGCAGCTTCGAAAATGGTGAAATCTTTGTTTAGTTGTTCATCAAGTTCCAAAATAGCCGCTACATTCCCACATCTGTAAGTGCTATTAATTAGAAAATTGCAATTTCAGTGTTAATGAAGAAGTCAATCTAACTGGAGATGAAAAATTATTTTTGATTAATGCAATCTCCAAAAAAAGAAAGAATTTTACAAAGAAAAACCAACATTACCGGTAGCAATAATTAGGTGCCGACCAGACCGTTAAAACCGTTTCACCGAAATGCCATTTATAACCTTCCATAACAAGCTGGTGAGCCCGACAAATCAAATCTACACCATTTGCTTGACAGAAAGCCTAAACTAATCGTTTATCAGAGAATAAGCCTCTAATGACTAAAGAATAAGACATCATGAAAACTTCAAACAGTAGAAGATGATAACAAATAATTTCTCAAAACTGGCACAGAAAATTCTCTTCCATTTCGGAATGAATTCAAAAAATTATTTTAAATGACTATTTCTTCTATATAGAAAAATAATAGATAAACATGCAAGCTGGAGAAACTAGCCTTAACAACGTCAGAGCCGAATAGATAGCCAGCACCTCGAGGACTAACACCCCAACCGACACTCTCCTCAGGATCTGACCATAACAAATCACACATTGGGCCATCATGAGGTACCTGAAAACCAAAACCTGAATAACTAAGTAGCTTATTAAAAATACATCCCAAGAAATATCTACGTAAGACAATGGAAATGCAGAGTATTAACCTCTTGCTTCCTATCGATCGTCCTGATTTGATCAAGATTTTGTATTGATGGTGATAAGCCACCATGCACACAAAATACCTTACCCGCAATAACTGCAGAAAGACTTAGACAATCGAATACTTCAGTGCAACACCTGAAGCAGGGATCAGTTGCAACATAAAATAAAAAGCAAATAGACATTCAATGTTGCTATGAAAACCAACGTTCTTTTTTCCAAGGTAAGCATAAGTCAAAATTCAAAAACGTACCTCCATACGGCTGATGAACCGTATTTCCTCAAGCATTCGTCGTAAAATCCATACACTTGAGTTATTTGTCGCGATTCATGATTCCCTCTTATCAGCATCATCCTATCGGGATATCGCACTTTTAAGGCTAATAGTAACAGAAATGTCTGAAAAATTACAATCAGTAAAATGTGATTAAAACCAAGAGCATTGTATAAAATAGTGTAAGTTTATGTTACTAAAGTACTATAACATAAAAACTTATGTAGTAAATGCCGATGCCGCAAAAAGATTAAATGGATATCGAAATTTCTATTTAAGAAATGAATGCTAATTTGAAAGATAAAAAATAACTTATGTATTAAGTTCGAAACAGAGCACGTTAAATAAGGTATTTAGTTCAAAAGGGAAATAAATATAACAAGCTTTAAAGGACAACAAGTTTAAAGTGGTTTGAACAAAATCCGGTATATGGCTGCATCAAATAAAATTAATTTGGTTTCATTAGTGTTTACGAATTCATACTTAGAACTAATATTAAAAATGTAAGAAAAAATAAAGTTCGACTGTGATGACCAAAGCACTGATGAACAAAAGCAGCAACTTAACCTCAACAGAATAAAAACCACGATCAACAAAGTCGCCGAGGAAAAGATAATTAGTGTCAGGAACCTGGCCACCAACCCTGAATAATTCCATTAAATCGTAAAACTGACCATGGATATCGCCACATATCTAAATATCTCTCTAATCATAAAAGTGCTTTTTGATTCCTAAGCATAAAAGAGCATAAATGATTCGTAAATCTTTGGTTATGTATAAGTAGCCCGGATGTAACAAGTCGTCAGCAGCTTCATATATTTTTGTCATTCTTTTTGCTAATTTGGTTATTTAACAGATTAATACTTTCGTCAACAATAAATGGTTCTATATCATAAAAAATTTGACACAATTAACTATGCTAATGATCTAACTGATATAATACTAAATAACACAACTACTGGTATTATGAAAGCGTATTACAAAATCATTAAGACAGGTTTAAAGAATTAAAGAAATTAAAGAGAAAAACGAAAGATTACCGTAACAGGAGAATCAACAACTTGCACGTTGCCTTCCTGTAAAAGGATTTCACGTGCTTTGGCACACAATGATTTTACTTCTTGCTCTGAGATACATTCACACCTCATCAATGTTTCGATTTGTCTTAAAATTATCGCTGGTAAATCATGACTAAATTATGTAACTCGAAAAGGCAAACAGTGCAATATATCAATGTGAAAGTTCATGAACATTCAATTTTAATGAAATTCAAAATAAAAACTGATATTAACCTATCCAAGTCATTCACAGTAACAGAAGTTGGTGTTGAAGGTAACATCGAAGGTAATGTTTCATCTGCATTCATTACCATATCAAAATCTTCTGCAATAAATACAAATAAATGCAGTAATTGTCTGCTTAAAATTAAAACAATATTTTAAGTAAACTTTATAATTGCTTAAACGTATAAAACATATATGTCTGAATCAATAAGCTTAAGCACTCAAAATAATCAGACAAATGATGAAGCAGAAACCAGAAACTGCGAAACTTAAAGTGGAAATCTAAGCCATCAAATTCATTAGTGCCATTAAACTTCAAACAAATAGGGAAATAAAATTTGCAGCCCGTCCATCTGAAAAGACGGTCCGGCCGCTGAAATTGAATGGAAATTTTGATTTGATTGCTGAGATGTGTTAGGTGTGGGAGTTGTAGTTTATTTCGTTTTTATCTCGATCAGTAACTGATGTCCGGTATGCTGGGACTCTGAACTGAATGCCTGATAGACGAGGAATGAAATAGAGCCTTGGAATATTGATAAGAAACTGACCTATTCCTCCTTGAATTTCCATAAACAGTCAAATGAATAGATGGAGAGAATGACCGCCAATGTAATTCCCACTTCCTATTTTCCCTTACTCATTCTTTCCTCTCTTTTTTCTTCTGCAATTTATTCAACTGTTATTACTTGGTTCATTTAATTTTATCTAAATTTACATCAAAATGATTGAGTTGCCAGGAAATTCCTTCATAATTTATGGCTGATCATTGAAATATATATATGTGTGTGTATATCTATCCTAAATTAAAATATAATAAAATACGCTAAAAACCGCAGTTTCTTATTTTGGCTAAAATATAATCACAAGAATTATCAGAAATTAAAAATTTGTAAACAGTTAATACAGATTCATATTGCATTTTTTTTTTATTTCAGCATAAAACCTGCAAACAGTTTGTGGTATAAAATGAATTGAAAGAAATTGAAATAAGGATTGTTAGTTTAAAATTTTGAAAATGGGAGAAAGAGAGAAAATATTATTTTCCCTATTTCTTGTCCAGTGATTTATTTCTGTTACAGTTATATAATGTGAATGGGGCGGATGATACATTTCGATCATAAATACCGTATTTTGTTTATGTAAAATACATTTTCTTTTTTTACTTCATGTGATGTCATAACTTTTCAACAGTTATTTTTGCAGCATGCCGTGTTATGTTCTCCCTCTTTAGATCCTTTTTTTTTTTTTTTTTTCCTCTCTCTTTTTTGATTCCTTTTATCCTATCCTTATTAACGAAGTTTTAAAGGAACAAATTAGAAAGCTGAAAGGATGATAAAAACGAAAATATGGATGTCTTCTTTCTCAGCATTTCACCTCTATAGTTTACATATTTTTCGAAGCAAACTCATCTCCTCATTGATGCAACAGTTAATAATGGAAGGACCGGAATTGAACAGGGAAAATATTCGGACAAACTTTGAAATGGATGAAGGAGAAAATTTCAGCTTTTAATTTTCCTTTTTAATTACTAGTTTTGCAGTAGATGTTTCCCTTTCTATTCTTTTTCAAAATTTTGCCTTAACCTTAAGTTATAGTGGGAAAAAAGTTACCTATAAACTATTTGGGTAAAAAAGGAGAGGAATAAGCCTGAAAATATGCTAAGTAAAAAGAAAAAAAAAAATACTTTCAGGTATTGAAATTCAGATGGAAGAGCAAAGAGAAAAGGAGAGGAAATTGTCGGTTGGTGAAGGAAAAAGGATGGAAGAGAAAATATTGTAGGAAGAAATGCCTAAGAAGAGTAAGAGAATATCGATGATGAAATGCAGCTAGAAAGGCCTTAAAAGCTAAGGTTCACATGAATATTTGTCTTTCTCCCTCCTCATTCCCTCTCACTCTTCCGCGTGGTTCCATCCATATTTCTGTGCAACACAATCAGTCATTCATCATTTTTTGATGGTTCTTGATCCAATATAATATATTTACCCCACAAATTATAAAATATATAATTTGCTTTTTTCCCCTCTGTCCTTTCTCTTTCTAAGCATTCCCTTTCTTCGTCTTTCCACTCCTTCTTTTCCCCTTCCTTCTCCATCTTTCTTCCGCTTATCACTTCAGTCCCCCTCCTTATGGTTGTTTAATTACCACTTCATTTCTCCTTCTTGCTGAGAACTGATATGATGATGTGCGAATGATTAATATTACTAGAATTTCATGTTTTTGTCATAAATCGTTTCAAAATTAATTACTAAAAAATCAATTAATAGATGAAAATAATTAAAGTATTTCTTAATAAAAAAAAAAAAAAAAAGAAAGAAGATAAATGAAAAACAAAACGAAATTTGCAGCTAGCGATTTTGAATGATTAAATTGGGACAATTCTGCCAATTATTTGTTTGATTTTCTGAAAAAAAAGATTTTTCTGATTTATTTCTACTTCTGTTACTAATATTACTACTTCTATCACTACTATTACTACTACTACTACTACTACTATTATCACTACAGTTACTTACTACCAAAGCAATGTTGATAAAGGAATATCGTATTCTGTTACCTCTTACTGTCAACGAATATCGTATCGCTCAACTTTATATGATTCAGGTTTGTGTTTAGGTAAATTTGGTTTGTTTCTTTCTTGTTCGAGATGTAGATATGAGAGAGCGGAAATGAATGGGAAGGAACGTTAAGATACTTTTTTTTTTGGGAGGAGAAGGATTCAGGAATTCTGTCTTCTTTTCAAGCATAGATTTTATTGTTTAAATGTTACTTATGATACGGAATGTGTGTCAGTTATGCTCGTGTCAGTTATTGTGCATTAAATGTGCACCATTCATTGTGGGAGAAAATTGACACATTTGCAAAATGATTTCTGTTTTTTCAGAAAGTTTGATAAATTTTGCAAAAATTTGCAACTTTCAAATATTGAAGTCTTGTTTGCAAAAAGATTTTTTCATTTTTCTTTTCTCATATGTGTGACATTTCACTGCTTTTAAATACATTAAAGTTTTTGAACTACAAAAATGAAAAATTTTAGTGACGATGAAGTTTTTTCTCATACTGCTAATTGTATAATAATTTTTGGACATTTTTTTTCGCGAAATCTGTATACAATAATATTTTTCAATCAAGAAGAGTGATAGATTTATTTGAATGAGAATTAAATGGTTTATTTATTGAATATGCTATCTCATGAAATGTCTTAATTGAAATCCATATCTATGCTGCATAGCACTGATGAATTTGCATATATATGTATATCTAACTATTCTCAAATGATTCATTTTAATCAAATTATTTTCTGAAATTTTCTCATCGAAGTAGAGAGTTGTTTATCGAAAATATCTAACAGTTGATTCTGATATATTCATTAAATGAAATGTCATAAATTTTATTCCCAAGAAAAATATAATTCTTTTTTCTTTATAATTTTGTCAATATTAAATTTTCGCAATGAAATTTATTAGTCCTTATATTTTTTTTTCCAAAAAAAATAAGATATTTCTTTTTATTGATCTGCACATGATTTTATTGTTAATTACCAAAAGTTTAAATAATCACTTTATCAAGTAGGACTTTCTCTTTGTCAGTAGTTTTTGTATAACGGATGTTATCGATTATTTTTTAATCTTCCCAAAGATATCGGTCTTTTCCGTTTTCTGTCTTTTGGTACAAAGTATTGGAAGCATCAGGGGCAATTTCAAGACGGAAGGTATGGTAAATTTCCCATTTTTTATTGTTAGAATTCTTTTGATGATAATTTGTAGATTGTTAAATTAAAGAGAAGCAAATTGCTTAGCACATTTCAATGCATGCTTGGGTTCACACTGCAATTTTTCTTCAGATTTATGAAGTTAGTAATTATATTGCTTTCAAATGATGGCTTTCCGTCTTATTTTCATGAAGTTGCTTGTATTATCGAAAGTTGGAAACTGTATATTCGTAGTTTAATATGACTGCAATAATTGGAATATTGAGATCTATAAAAGTTATGATATTTTAATGCCCACTTTTTTAATAATAGACTGGCAATTAATTTCCCCACTGCGTAGGACTTGTTTTGGATGTAAAGATTGTCAATGTAGTGAAATTTAATGGTTTATTAAATGAAGTAAATCAATGGCGAATGATGGGCAGGTTTGGAAATAATATTTCCAAAAATTTTGAGAAAATATTCCTTTCTGGAAGTATAAGTTAATAATATGAGCAGAATATAAGTTGTTTAAATGTTGTTAATGAAAAAAAGAAATCAATATTTGTTTTCATGAATTGATTTAAAGGAATATTTGAGTCATAAATACCATCTGTTGACTTTTATGGATTAACCAGTGCTAAATGATTCTGATAAATTCCGGCAGTCAGTTCATAAATTTAAAGGAAATATTCAAGTTGAATTGATAAAAGCTTCAATTCGTGTATTAAAGTAAAAATCATTTTCGTTAATGGTTGGTTAGTCGTTACACTGAAATACTAATAAGTATGTGTGAAGTAGATGTTTGGATTTACATTATGGCATAACTCTCTTCAGTAATTGACATCCTGAAAATAGGAAAACATCGAAGGAAGAGTGGGAGATTGAGCATAGAAAATAAATATGAAAATTGAAGAAAATTTTTGATGTATTTCTGGATAGCAAATGTTAGAAAAATATCGATCTAAATTCTAAAAATACTAATGATCTAAATATAGTAAAGGGCATTTTCTCAATATTGAAAAAGCAAAATTTTGGAAGAAATTTCGAGGTGAAAGGGACAAAGAATTTTTTTCAGCATCACTGAAACCTTAATTTGAAAAAATGAAGTATGTACGCCTAATGTAAAAGTCCAGAATTAGAATTAAATTTCATTCTAGAAAAGGAAGAGATAATGACGAAACAAATAATTCTTTCTAGAATAATTGATAATTAAACTTGATTCATTTATTCTTTAAAGGAATTACAAATTGCAGAAAAAAAGTCGACAAGAAAGTTCGGGCGAAGGTAGTGGTGTAGAAATTATCACTAACAAACCGTACAGCGATGGTCCAGGTGGATCTGGTCAATACACATTTAAAATTTATCATATCGGCAATAAAATCCCAGGTAAGTATTTTGTACTTCAATGGATGAATTTCATAAAAAGTGATGGCATAATGCTATTACATTTTTTGTATGTACCAAGAAAATATGCTTTAGTTGTTATAATCAGCTACTACAAGTTTACAATGTTACTTTTCCATAAATAGAACAAAAGCAAATTACTTTAGTAGCACCGTACCTTCGTTAATTCCATGGAACAATTTTTTGAAGAAAACACGAATTGAACATCGTCTTCCTCACTTTCTTTTTCTAAGAGCTGTTGTCATATTTAATTTTCTTCCATTCTTTATGATGTCCAGAAATGTTAGAAATTTTGACAGCAATGTAGTCGAACAAATTGCTCATGCACTTTTCCTTTCTGCTTTTGTGTTCCTTTTTCCACACATTCCTTTTTGTTGAGTCAAAGACAAATTGGTAGCCTATTTTAAGAATGAGAAATCAGTAGATTGATCAATTGTTCAAGATTAAGTAATGAATTTTTTTTATTAAGATTAAACAAAAAAATTAGAAAAAAAATTCAAAATTCAAAATTTAAATTATAAAGGAAATATAAAATGAGCGTTTATACATTCCTTTTTTTTTTCTGCGAACAGGATACGGTTATATTTTAAAGGTCATAAATATGATAGTGTAAAACTGATCAAATACAAAACATTATTTGTGTGTCGTCTCAACATAGCGATTTTGTTAAAATTATAGCGATTAAAATTGCATCGGATATTAAATTTTTTTTTTTCTGAAAAAATCTTATATGTATAAAGATATGCTGGAGATATTTGATGCATTAAATAAAATAATGAAGCAAATGTCCACGAATTATTTCATAAATTCTTTTTTTATGGTTAGTCTGGTTACGCAGCGTACTACCAACAAATGCACTGGAAGCACATGAAGAGGCCTGGAATGCATATCCTCATACGAAAACACGTTATTCATCTCCATTTTTGGATCGTTTCAATATTGAAGTGGAGACGAAATATTACAATGATGCTGGTAATCAAGAAAATGTTTTCGAGCTTACCGGTGATGAATTGAAAAATCGAATTGTTGGTAAATTTTTTGAAAAACAATATTTTTTCTAATTTTTGATTTAGCGAATTATTTCAATTCGAAAAATTGGTTGTGTCAGTTGTATAAGTGTGTAAGTATTCTTTTAAATCGTTTTGGTTTATGAAATCAGTTTTAGGCGTAAAATCCATCGTTTTTTAATTTAAAAATGTTTAGAAAAAAGTTGGAGATGTAAGTTTCACGTTGTAGATGTAATGGATTTTGTGAATGATGCGTTATCATCGTATGATTATGTTCCTGATGAAGATCCGAAATTATATCATAGTATAAAGACTGGTCGCGGGCCGCTGAAAGAAAATTGGATTGATGACTGCATCAAAAATGGAAAACCTATTATGTGTGCCTATAAACTTTGCAGAGTACGTTTCCCATCAGAAATCATTATTTCCAATAGAAAGAGGAATGTGGAATTTAATTTGACAGGACGTGTAGAACTTTGTTTTATCAAATGAATTATCGCATTAAAGGATATTTCAGGTTGAATTTCGATTTTGGGGTTTGCAGACTCGCGCGGAACGTTGGATACATAATCATGCATTGCGTAATACAATGCTAAGGGCTCATAAGCAAGCGTGGGTATGGCAAGATGAATGGCATGATCTTACACTTGAGGATGTACGCGAATTGGAGCGAGATGTAATAGTCTTTTTCAAGGGTTTCAATTTTGGGTCAGAATTTTAGTCTACTTTACGGAAATTAATTACTTGTCGTATTGAGAATATGTGCCATGAAGAGGAAGTGAAGAGTGGAATTCCTGAACGATATCTAAGGATTGATCAAAAATTTAATCAGGATGGTTTAATGTCATGGTATCATCATTTGGAATCTGTCATTTGTAAGGGATTGCGTGTACCACTGCACACTTTCAGCTTTTTCATTGATTTGCTGTGACATATTAAAAACTTAGTAAGTTTTATCTATTTGAAAAAAAAAAAAGTTTTCCATCTATATTTTCAGGCAGCAGAACATTTATCCAAATTAATGTCGCGATCGTCCATTTCTGTTTCTTCGTCGATTTATTTCGATTGTGTGGATGGTAATCCTATGATAGAGGATTCTCAGTCGCTGATAAAATGGAGTTCAGAGATATCGCTTCATAGTGGTCACGAAACACTGTTATCACCTAGACTTGAACAAGATGTGAAGGTGGCAGCTAACACCACATCTGATGCTTCCTTGCTTGTGATAGTGTTTTACGGTGATATTTTCTCAGATGTGAGTTTTTTGAATAAAATTTTTAGAGACTAATTTTAAATTCACTGTTTGCTAGCTGAAAAGTGTTAAAATTATAAATAAAATTGAGTATATCAAGTTTAGATTCTTAATTTTATTCAAAGAATGTTGAATAATCTGATTTATTTGTCAGAATTAATAAGAATAGTTTGTTATAAATAGTCTGCTCACTGAAATATATTATATTCTTTTCAAATTCTATAGATATGTGTGAAACACATCTTACTCTTCAAACAACAGTGTTTGTTTTGTTAGAGAAACATGAGAGCACCCTTTGAATTCTTGATATAATTATTACTGAAGTCGATTCGTTGATTTTAAAACTCTGTATACCGGAAATAACCAACTATTCTTTATTCAATACTGTTTGATTGAATTTAAGAAAACTTAAATTTGAATGTGATTCCGATGACTGATTTTGAGATAATCAAAGCATTACCATCCTTACGAATGATATAAAAAGATTATGTTTCTACTTCGATGGTAATGTATGGGTATCATTTTGCCTTTTTTTTTTACTAGGTTTCAACCGATCAAAATGTATCAGATCCGAATTCTTTGCGTTTAACAATGGAAAAACAGATCTCAACAGATTATGAGCATCTGAAAGGACATGTTCATTTTTTACAAGTATCATGTGGTCAAGAATTCACCGATACAGCCTTACATTTGATCTCAATTACGCCTACATACGGTCTTGTTCATCCATCACTGGCATTACTTCTTTCTTCATCGCAATATTATTTTGAGGTTTGTTTCCTAATCGTACAATACAATAAGAGCACTTATCGATATAGGTGATCTTGTGTAATCGTTTATATGCTTGATGTATACATATTCATTTAAAAATGGTGACTTTTTTAGTGTTCTTTATTGCAAAAATATTAAATGATACTTTAGCATTGAAAGTAGATAGAGAGAAGTGTACTGCTTTTGTTTGTTTTTATAAACATTCGAAAATGAGGACTTAATAATGAGACATAGAAGTCAGAGTTGTACATCTTCAATTAATATACTCCAAACTGTTTTTTTTTTTTTTTTTATGATACCTAAGCGTGCTTTTTTTCTTTATTATTTCTTTAACTTCTTTAAAAGGAAGCAAAAAAGCAAGAATCAATACGATGATTTTGCTAGAATAATTTAATTTTGAAAGTTCTGAACTGAAACTATTGAGAAAAGAAAGATATTGTATAGAAATGAGCAGATAGCTCATAAGTGAGATATGAACGAGATAAATATAAAATGTAATCAGGGATTAAAATGAAAACATTATGGGATAATCAGTGCATAAATTCAAGAGATTGACGAAAATAGTTTTCATACCTTCAATGATTAGGTAATCTTCATCATTGATTTATGAAGAAAAAATTGTTGTCAATCTTTGTACTGAATTCGAATTTGAACTTCCGCAAAATTTTTTATTTAAATTCAATCAGCCTTGCTATGGTAGATTGGAAATTATATGGGGAAGGATTCCTCTTATCTAAATAATACTATTCAATTTTAACACAATACCAATGATAGCACAGTTTTTAGCAATTATACAGACTATTGCACACTTGGCTGATAATGCATATCAAAGAGCTTGAGATAAGGCTGCTGTACGATTTAATATATGCATGTGAACATGTATTTTGTACCTGTTCAAAAATTCAAAATTTAGCACAAAATATTTCTTTCCGACATTCTTTTTTTTTTGCAATTTTTGCAATTCCCATAATATATAGACAGCGATGAAAATTGCATGTGAAATGGGATGAAAAAAAAATAGGATAATGGAATTATGGTTTTGATTGATGAATGATTTTAATGACACACTAGTTCCATTATATCTTGATGCGAATAATATCTGGAAGAATAATAATGAAAATTTGAAATCTAGTGATAGAATGCATAAGCAGCAGTATTTTGATATTAAATGGAATATTATTAAAATGATAAAACATAAAAAAACTGTTGCTTGGAGATCAGAATAATTTGAACAAGATTTTCGCACAACATTATGATTTTCAAGTTGTTTTAGTCTTGAACTGTTAATAATTAGTGTTGTGCTTTTTTGGTAATATTTCTAGTAAATTGAATGTTGTAGTGATTGAAAGCCTGAAACATGTTTTAATTTTTATTTGTGAGAAATTGATAAAGAAAATATGGCTAGCTTCGCTTAAAAAAAATTATTTCTGTATTAGCGTAAGGATAGAATTAACAACATTAGAATATTATATTGGTTAAGTTGTACATAAACTTTATATTTAAACTTAAAATTAAGCACGTTTTTAGGCTGTTCGGAATACGTTACGCCGGGCTAATGAAGCATATAATCAATTTATGCATTCCAATGCTGGACGAAATTTTAACGGCGAAATATTTGCCGTGGGTGATTACTTGGGTGGAATTTTGCTGCATGAATGTTTAAAACGTTCCGCAAATCACTGCCATATGCAACAATCACATCAAATTGTTTCTCGACATTCCAGTAATCTTTCCACTAAGTCTCATATTATTGCAAACGAAAACAGACAAGAGGTGATTGAATTTTTGTTAGCACTTGATATCACTAAGGTTTTATCAAATTTTATCAAACATCGTACTATTGCAGCCTAGAAAAAAGTGTAAAAATATCCCAGTGCAATGTGAAAAAAGTACTGCTGTATACCGTCACATATTCCTACAAGCTTCGAGAAACGATTGTCAGAATACTATCATATTTCTTGTCACTGGTCATTATTCTACAGATCCGTTGATTGGATGTAGTATTTTGCAAATTTGGTCGCTTAAATTTTCTTTGAAAAATATGCGATACTTCTTTTTTATCGGATATCTTGTTTTTTTCAATTTGCAGTTTGGAGAAAATGCGTGGATGACAAATGTAAATAAGTTACAGCGAAATTCATCGGTGCCATTGACCATGAAATTCAGAAATTGTCCTCAATCAACACCTAATTCAGAAACTTCTTCAAACGATGTAACTCCATTCTGGCTTTGTTTTAAGTAACTGACTTTCAAATTACTTTTCTCTTTTAAATCCAGATTTCCGTTAAATTTGTGTTAGATTTTATGCTGAAGACAAAGATGGGAATAAATGGGGTTGGTATCTAGTAATTGCATGCATAGCACTCTGTTGTTAATCGATATATTTTCTGAAGTTTTTACTTTAATTGAAGCAAATTTATTACAGGAAGTGCAAGAATCTCTGGTTTTCCACCCGAGCATGACATTCCTTCTTGGTTGTCCCTTGGCTTTTGTTTTGATTCATCGGAAATTTCACGGCTACGGTACATGTTTTTCTGTTTCTATATATGTTATTACGCTGATTTTATTAAAGCTTTCAAAAATTAATTGCTTGCGCTAAAAATTGCTTCAAATTAAAATTTTCTTTTAGTTTAAAAGAAATTTAGAAACAAAAAGAAATTTTGTAGAAGCTGAACCACTGGAATGCAATCAATTATTCAACATCTACTACTCGATAGATGCATGTGGTGCCCGGCTGGAACCAGTATTAAATCCTCAGCTTGCGATGCTTTTACCCGTCGACATGCCTCGTTACAGTGGTACTGCTGATGCTGTTGAGAATAATGATGGGTAAATGATTGATATACCTCCGAAAGTGATAATGTGAGGGAAGCAGTATAAAATCGATTAAACCCATAACCAGTGTGCGTATTTAGTGTGGGAGTGGGTTATAAATAATGTGAGTATTCTCCTAACAAACTACATGCTAATATATAATATATTTAAATAATATTTCCTAAATAGTGAGATGTTCTCGAAAAATCATGAAAAATTCGAAATGTTACACATTTGGTGGTATTTTACTTTTTATTTTGTGTTTCTTTCTTTTTTTTTGAAATCGCAAGCCTTTTAAAGGACTTCTCTCTTATAGTATACTTGATTCATCATTACTTTGGGGTAACCATCGTATTGATCACATACTGCATTCTCCGCACGCTATGATTACTTTGCCGTCATCAGCTCTTCCCAATGTTCTCCATGCTTCGTATTGGGAAAGTGATGATGTAGCTGCTTTTATCCTCAAGTTGGTTTAATTTTTTGACCTCGAAACTTTCGTTTTAAAATAAGATTATATTTGCATGTGCAGTTAGGAAAAAAAAGAAAAACAGTTTGCATTCTGAGATAACGTCCAGTTGATATCGTAAGTTTTTCTCTATATACTGGTATTTCGTGTCATGGAGATTGTTTCAGAAAAACGAAGTTAACCATAAGAGCCCTATATTTTGGAGTAGGTTGCATTTTTAACAATCGATAGGAAGAAGATTATAGTTTGAAATATGAAGTTGTTGAAGTATTCTCATACCGAAATAATTCTAAATTCATTAGTGCTTATATGATTATCAAAACGGGTAATGTTTTCAGGCGATTTTTACAGTGCGAAGGTGTGCGTCCGATAAATTTGGCTAGCATTACAAAAATTCCATCAGAAATTAAGCTTGGTCCTGCAATATGGAACAAGAAAAGAACTAAATATAAGGCAAGTAATGCAAATTTTTGGTCTTCAATATGTAGATTTTTTTTATTAATAAAGTCTTATATTCTTAATTTGTTTCGAACTTAGTTTAAAGGCTAAATTATTAACATAGAAGAAAGGGAATAAATGGAGTACTGATTTGCTTGCAGATTGCTAATTTGGCACCGAGTTTCAGCGGTAATGACGTAATTTGCGTAGAAGGAACTGAGCAAGTTATCCATGCACGGTTTTGTTATGGACCAATGGACTTAGTTGCTTTAAGCCGTGAGAATATTTCCGTTTATATACGGCCCACAGGAGGTGATTGGCAGTTAGTTAAAACAGATATTACTGATTCCCATGGCAAAATTACATTTGAGGTTTTTTTACGATCATATTATCCTTTTTTTTTTCTTCACCGTCTGCATAAATAGAAGAACTGCTTTAATTTTAACTCTAATTGCACTGCTCTAATTTATCGACGGTTTTTTAAGTTAGCAGTGAAATTCCCAACAATCAGAGGCATATATTAATTTCTATTTGCACTATTTTTGCTAGTTCCATGAACTTTGCAACTTATTGCTATAGAATAGGTGAAAAATGAAAAAATGATCAAATTTAGTTGAACAGTTAAATTTAATGTGTTATTGCAGCTTAAAAAGCGATTGTCAGTTGGAATACACTATGTGAAATTAATTGTGCATGGAGATCATTCTTTTCTGGATTTGTATGTTGCTGTGGCACCAGTCGGAGAACAATTCGTAGTGTTTAGTGTTGATGGATCACTTACTGCTTCAGTATCGGTTACGGGACGTGATCCACGAGTTCGACCAGGAGTTGTTGATGTGGTACGATATTGGCATGATTTGGTTGGTCACTTTTTTTCCTTTCATTCATCGAAAAGAAAAATATTGAAAGTTTCGAGATAGATAATTGATTGATTAAATAATAAACGGTGACAAAAGTCAGTGTGCTGTTCTCTTAGGACCAAGCAATTGTGTTGAAGTTCAGATTTTTGGAAATGTGTTTCAGGGCTACACCATTATCTATATCACTGCCAGACCTGACATGCAACATAAAGTTGTAGCTTTGTGGCTTGCACTTCATAACTTTCCTCATGGTCTCCTCATTTTTACTCCATCATTTTCGACAGATCCTCTCAGGTCATTTTTTTAGTTTTTGAATCGTTTATGAAAAATTATAAAGTTGGATTTTCAAACTAATGATGACCATTTACATTAATTCTACAAATTTTCATTTCTAGGCAGAAAGTGCTTCATTTGAAAAACTATTTGGAGATGGGTTTATTCATTACTGCAGCTTACGGAAGCAGTAAAGATGTATCGGTTTATAGTAGTGCAGGAGTGAAACCGAATCGAATATTTTCGGTAACTGGGGGGAAACGAGGATGTACAAATATCAATTGTTATGCTTCGCATTTGAAGGATCTCAACGAAGGATTATACGACTTCGCAAAACCATTTGATTCATCGTTAATTTTCCCTCAAACAAATTCATCTAACATTCTCAATCGCAGGTTTGAAAATAATTTTTTTTTTACTAAAAATTTTTTATTAAATATTACCAAAAATTTACTGGAAATTTCTTTTATAACTCTTACTAGAAATTTCTTTTATAACTCTTCAAATAACTCTTACTATAGAGAAACATTTGATTATTTTATCAAAAATATAATTTTGCAGAAATTTGATACGACGTACAAATTCATTCAACCCCCGAAGTGGGCGACAGTTATCCGAAAAGAGCAGGTTGCTATAAAAAAAATATATATCAATTAAATGTTTAAACATGTTCGTTCATTTGCGATCTCAATCTAACACTCTGTTAAGATATTAGCTAACTATTATTATTGTTGTACAGTGTGTATTGTTGTTTAAACTGTTATATATTTTCCGAATCTTAACTTTAGTGAGGTCCTTACGGTTATTAGAAATGGTGAAATTTTGTTGCCTACTTGGTAAGAGTAGCAAAAAATAAAACAAGACATGAGAAAGGTTGTGTTTCAATAATGGCAGTATTGATTGACTTGCAGTAAAATTTTGTCGTGTAAATAATGAAAAAAAAAAAAAAATATTTACTTTTTTGCCAAACACCAGTCAGTATATCGTCCACATTCGAATAATAAGCAAATGAAATGACTATTGTTCAAAAGAGTCAAAGCATAACAAGAAAGCTTTGGAAAAAGTAATGATTATTTAACAAAGGAGGATTTTTCTGCGTGGGATTTCTTCGGATTTTCTAGACAAGTTCACTACTAGAAGTTTTGCAATCTGTTGGAATATGGAAGTGGATGTGAATTATAAGACACGAGAGTAATCAATTTACTAATCTTGGACCATTCAAATCTCGGGAGAATGTAAGTATACCTGACCAATCCATACAAAAGTTCCAGTTGAGAAGTTACGATGACTAAGAATGAGTAGAAACCAGCACAGTGGATTAAAATAACATATGAAAATTTAAGCATTAAAATGGATGCAATGGACATGAAGCTCTTTGGCATTGTTATACAACAGACAGGAAATCGAGTTACGGCAGGAAATAATGGCATAGTAGACGTAAAAGGAATATGCCTACACTATTACAAGTCCCGAAGTTTTTGTTGACCTAAAGATGAAAAAGTCATAAATTCCTTCCTCCTATACGTGAAATCTTTCTTTGAAGACTACACGATGTTTTACTTTGGTCTAATTGAAGATCAATACAAGAGAAACAAAAAGATAAGAAACCAAATAAATGGTTCTAATTTTAAGCGTTCGAATTTCTCAAGTCCTAATGAAAAAACTGATTTACAGTAGCTACTCTATCACATATTAACTGGACATGATTCAGTCCTTTCATTTGCATTGAGATAGTAGAAATAATATCTCTCATCCTTTGTGACAGTCTTACACCTGAACTGATCTGCTCATTTGAACAACTGATTCGAATTAGTATATTTAACTAATAATTATTTCGCTTATTGCCGATTATAATTGAAGACTGGTATTCAACGCATAAATGACGATTCATTATGCCATAATGTCACAAACAACAAAAACATTAGAAGCACTTTCTGGACTTCATGATGGGTTCCATGACGAAGACAAAATTTGATGTAATTGTATCTCCTTCGTTTCATTCCTGTTCATCTTTAATATCATATCATTTGCATATTTTTGATCATCCTACAATTAAGACTTCTATAAAAAAATCTACACTGAACTGATCGACAAATTCAAGCTGTAATATATAAAAGTGCTTCAATAAAATCGTCTTACTTCTCTTTTATGTGATAATCAACAAAACAGCTAGAATTAAAAACTGTAAAATAACTGATATAAATTCAAAATTTGTGAAATCCATTGTATTCCCAACCTATCTATAATGCTATATTGTCGGCTTACGAGATTAGCAACTGCTCTCACATTTTGTGATTACATCAATGAAAGAATTTAGTCTTTTGCTGAGATGGAATTTTATTAATGCTTTTTGTAAGAAAAATCAAAATTTCAGGAGGATCATTTCCTTTTTTTTTGCATAATTTGCACCAAAGAAAGTCGTAAAAAGCACTAACCGATTGATATTTTTTTAACATAAGTAAATTTACTTCTATCAGTTGTGTGAATCATTTTAAACAGTTTCATAATAGATCTCAGAGGAGCAACGTTTTTGCTAACTTTAACTTCATTTTTATCTATTCTTATCTTACTTTTGCTAGTTCCCTACATCAGGACAATATGTTCTGTGTTCTGGTGTAGAAAACTCCAAATACAAAGCACGACCAATTTATAACATTCTACATTAAATTCCCTAATTATCTCTCATACTTAACAAAATTGGAAAAGGATTGCAACAAAAGAAAAAAAAAACTAACATTGGAGAAAAATTATTGGTATTAAAACTCAAGAAAAGCAAATAAATGAAACAGAAATATTGAACAAAAACTACAGAAATCACCAAAACTAAACTACCGAAAAGAAAAAGTAAAAAAGATTACACAGGAAGAAATGAAAAAAGCGTGAATTCTTGTATTTGAACTACTGATCTGAGCTTTTGCCCAGTCTGTATGGTAATCTTTGTATCGGATGGCCGAAGGAGGATTGCATATTTCATTTTTTGTCGCTTTCATTGTTTATTGTTTCAGTAGAAATAGCTATGCCATTAAGTCTTGGAAGTTTAGCTCAGTATTTGTGAGATTCACTATGTTTGTAATTTCTTTCAGCAGTTTTATCTTCAAACTTTCCTATAATGCTACATTGTCAGTGTGCTGGACTGGCTACTGTTGTGGCGAATTTGGGCAGTCGAAAGTTTGATTCTTTTGGAGAGGTTTTTCACTCGTGGATTATGGCTTGATGTGGTAGCAGTAGTGTGGAATAACACCGAAATGCTTTGGCTTAAATTTTGACAGATTTAACAGGATAGGAAGTAATTACTGGGGTCGAAAAAATGAGGATTCCTCATTTCTTCACATTTATAGTAAGTAATCTCTCATACAAGAGAATATATATATGTCAAGATGGAAGTGGTTTACAAAATTTGATAGATCCTCTCAAATACAGGAATTGGTAGGTGAAAAAAACTGTACTATGAAATATCTGATGCGTTAATTAAATCAAAATAAACAAAAAAGGGATGAGAAAATGGCTTAATAAGGAAATAGATTAATTAAATGATTCATAATATTGTTTACATTAACACTTATTTAGATATAATACAATTTGGATAGTTAGTTTTTCGCATAAAATCATTACTTTAATTTAAAGTTCGCGGTACTCGAAATTTGTGACAGCTGTCTCGAGGTATGATTACCTGTGATTGCATCAAAATTTGGTTTCGCATAGAGAAATTTAGTCTTTTTAAAAAAAAAAAATTATTTTAAGAAATTTTAGAGACATGATTCTCTCTCAAAAAAACTTGCACAAAAGAAAGCTTTTTCAATATTTTGATTTTTTTTTTTTTTGATAACGTTTAATAATTTTTTAACATAAGTAATTTTACTTTGCTAGTAACGACCATTCCAAAAATTTCTTTTCGCTCATATTTACCGCAGTAGGATCGATTCTAGCAACATAGTATTGCTTCTACTCCATCCTTATCTATGTTTGTCTCATTTTTTTCTTTTCTTTTTTTTTGATTTCCTACTCCAGAACAATCATATTTGTCGAAAAACAATGAAGCAAAATCAATTTTGAACATTCTGCATTAAATTTCTTACCAGTTATTTCTTAGGAGGGAACCACGATAAAAGGAAAATAAAAGAAAAAGGATCAAAATTAGAAACATTATTATTAAAACCAAAAAAAAGGAGCAAACAAATAAAAAATGATTTCATGGGAATAATTTTTAAAACAAACCCTTAATTTCCAAAAAATATTTGCTATCCCTAAATATACATCTGTAAAAGCAAATTTAGAATTTCTTTCTTACTGCGCTGCTTTCTTGTTAAACAAAGTAGGTTTCCTTTCTTGATGGTTGACTTTTTTTTATCCTCGATACTGGTAGATTCTCGAGTTTGTACTGGTTCCATTTTGTGTACGTGTACTGTGGGAGTCTTCGTGAAATACTTTATTATTCAAACCTCAAAGTTGGGTTATTAAACCAAAGATTAACATTAAAAATTATACAATATTACAATAATGAATTGATACATAACACATAAATGTAATTAAAGATAGAAGCAAGCTAGACTCCTCGCAACCGAGCCATACCATAATGAATGGCTTTGTAAGGAAGAAACTTGGGAGGGATTTTATGGATGCTAAGGTTACAAAGAAATATTTGGACATATAAAATAAAAGCACTAAAAACCACAAACAGAAAAAAAATAAGTATACAAGAAGGAAAATACAACAACTTTTCGCAACCAGTTCAAGGTTTAAACCTTGATCATTATTTGTATATCGAGACCAAAAACAAAAACATACTTTTCTTAATTTTTTACCAAAATTTTCCAAAATTAAGAAAAAAAAATTAATTTGTACACTCTGGCTAACTTTTCGTTTGTTTAGCTACTGGCTTTATCTCACCAATTTTCATGTCAAAAGACTAAGGCTGCACAGTTTGAATTCATTAACAAAAACTATTGATCTCGAACTGTTACTAAGTTCTTTCGTTTCATTTAATTATACAAAAGATAGCAATTGCAGAATTAATTATGCAAGATATGACGAATTGTTATAATCATTTAAAGGAAATGAAAAAACAAAACCAAGACACTTCTTCATCCAAGTTCAAAGAAACTAATCAAGATTACCAAGATTCATAATTCTACATGTGTAAATATATTTTTACAAGTTACAAGTGTAAATAAATATAATTTGTTGGGAATAGTGTAAATATACAAACCTAAATATTTCAAATACTATTTCAAAATACTCCAACGAGCAAATTCAAAAAGTTTTGAAAAAGTTTTTTTCGATATGTGTCTTCATTATATCCATGCTAGCAGAAAACATATAACAGAAGAAATTCGGCACAATTTGGATCAGTACAAAAACAGCTAATTCCGTAATAGCTTATTACTTACCTAAGAATTTGTGATTCCAATAACTGCAATAATTAATGAAAAATTAGATTGGTCTCATGTAAGCGCAAATATTTCAGTTTGAACGGACTAAACCTAGAAGCAAAAACCGTTCTTCCAACTCTAAAAATTTATTATGCAGAAACCATGATATTATTTATTATCTTCTAGAATTAAACTAAAACTGTCCTCTTCAGAATGTAGGCCTAAAAACCATCAAAATAATAAACAATCAAATGATAAAGGCATTTTTCTTCCAAGAAGTGTAAATGCAGCCTAATATCGAAGAAAATTGTTTCAGTGCTATATTAGGATTAGACCATAGTTCGGCCATCTTCACTATATGCAAAAAAATTTATCAATCACTGTTTTGACTGATAAATTTTATCACTTGATTTACATCCCGATGTTAATATTTTCACAAAGACTTATTACTGTAATTACCAGAAAGGCGTTCGTTGTATGAAAAAAATGATGTTCGATTAACGTGGCGTCAAATAAAAATTATCACTTGCTTCGCTTTTTCAGTAAGTAAGTTCAAAATGATTAAATAACATCCCGCATCCTTGGCAGTCCCAATCCTTGGCAAATTTAAATAAGAGATGATTAATCTTGCAAACTCTCTCTTGCTTGTGTTTTGCTTAATTGATCATATGAAAGCTCTTTGATCACTGTAATTATCGCTTGTTTCGCTTTCTTTAGCTATGAATTGTTTATTTCAGTTGCATTACTCACTTTCTGCATGCACCCTGCAAGAATAACTTTTTTTCCAGAAAATTTACTGTCTCAAATACCTAATTCGTTAATAACTTTTTTTTTTTTTCATAGCTTTTCATTTTTTATACCTGCTTGAAAAGGTATATTTATTATTATTAAGTAGAAAATAGTTCAATGAGAGAAGAATTATTCCCATGCGAGCTTCTTGCAGTTATCTTTGCTTTATTGTTTTCTCTTTTTTGGGATTGATGAATATTTTTTCTTCTTCAGAGAATAGTTTTTATTTAGCTCAAAAATTAAAAAAATTACTAATCATGAAATGAAATTCTTCAAGATTTGAAAAGCTTCGAAAAATAATTCCGGTTTTTTCAAGATTTTGTTGACATTTTTAATTATTGAACTAGTAATAAATAGTTCTTTTTTTTCAAACATCAATATTATATTTGAAGTTGAAAAAGACGCTAATATTGTTTCATTTTAGTAACAGTGATACACAAAATAAATTTTAAAGCAATATAGATTTGAAATATTCAGTTCTGAATGTGTCCATAGCAAATGTTAGTCACATATGATATCATCTGATCTTAAAAAAAAATTTTAATTGATAAACCATCTATTTTCACTTTTTGCTTGTCTTCGTCTTATCGGAATATTGAAATATTCAGTTCTGAATGTCTGACATATTTGAAATATAATAGACAAAATAAATATCTGACATATTTGAAATCTTAATCTGACATATTTGAAATATAATAGACAAAATAAATATATACTGAATGGGAAAAAATCAAAATGAACTGATTATATAGAGATGACTAATGAACTAAACGTTATAACTATTGAACATTGCTATCTAACAAATTTTAAACATAGAAAATAGCGACTAATGAATTCACGATGTGCTAAATTTAATTTGTCATACGCTAGTTTCTTGGAACAGTTATCTGTATTTAAAGCTTTTATAAATTATACTTTTCCATTAGCAATCAAAATAGGAATGACTTAAAAATTAAGCTTAAAAACTAAAATGTTTATCTAAAAATCTATCGAGAAAGTAAGAAGTTATTTAATTGGATATGTGATTTATTTTACTTTTATGTCCTTACTGTCTAATTCCTTTTTTTTTTTTCAGAACTGCTTCTTTTTTGAATTACAAAGAAGTGTTTTAAATAGCTCCCAGAATTTAAGTTTCTTTTGTAATATTTAGAAAAAAAATCAGTGATAACTCATAACATTAGAAACAAGCTGTTATTAATAATTTTGAATCAATTGTCGTTATTTTATAAAAAGCATGAAGAATTTATCAGTAAAGCATGAAGAATTTATCAGTAAAGCATGCGGTACGTATCAGTTCGTAAAGTTTATTTTTTGATTCTTGCATTGACGGAAGTCTGAAGAATTAATAATTTACCTTTGCACTTTTCGATATGATAATATTTCGCGACATATATAAGCTGTTTCTCGATGAAGGAACTTTAACTAATTCAGTTTCTTTAACTAAATAGCTGTTCGATACTGCTGAAAATATATCTTAAAATCTGTTCCACTAATCCACCAATGATTTTATTTACCAAATACATTCATTAATTTATTCGTATTGAGATCTTTGTGATGGAATTATTAAGACATCAAGTGAACTTCGAGTATAAGTACTTCTTGCAGCAATTTTTACGTGTTATCCAATAAATGTTTACCTTTTCAACAATATGCAACCTCAATATAACCTTATCCATTGGTCGTTTCTCACTGATATAATCATTACCAATAGTTCCTTAACAGATCTATACTTGAACATTCTGCATATGAACTATTCACTTACGTTTTATTTCTTTCATTCATGATGAATTCTTGTATGCTTGCATACAAATAATTTAGGCCGCATTTTGCATTTGTATTAAATTTACTTCAGAATCAAAGCAGTAGGCAGTAAAAAATTGTTCTGAATATTTATGAGTGATTTAGTTTCAAAATTAAAGTAGCAAAATTTTGAAATGACCAATTTGTTATAGTTTATAAATGACATAGTGATTACAAATTTTTGTTTTTGTAACCAAAAATCTTCCATTTTGAAAATGAAGATAGAAATGTTGGTAAACAAAAAAATGTTCCATTTTGAGATCTACGAAATTTAACTCGTGAAAATGAAGATAGAAATGTTGGAAAAAAAGAAATTCATTTTCATTTTTGAAATAATCCCATAGTACTCGAAGTGAACGTAAATACTCAAAATGCCGGATTGTCGCATAGATCAGCTGACGATATTAAACTGTGACAAAAGACATTAGTTATCAAGCTTATCAGGCGGTATCTCCTCATTGCCTCCTATATTTCTACTTTTCCATACCTCCTATATTCCTACTTTTCCATACTCTTTTTCAAACTTTCCTTTATGATGTTCACTGCTTTTTCTTCCGCCTCACTCTTATCATTCTCCTTTTTTAGCTTCTCCCATATTTTTCTCTTCATCAACTCCTATTCACCTTTATCAATGCTCTTTATCACTTGGCATAGTATACCACAAGAAAGAGTGCTAATTCAAATGGATTACAATTGTATTTGCAAATTAAATTTTTTGTTACAAAATTCATAAATAAATATTTGATACACTATATAGGCAGAACTCGAGAGCTTCAATTCTTTTAAGTAGGTATAATCAATTCTCTGAAGCATTAATTAACGCATAATTACATAAAAGAAGCGTATTATGCAGTAAAGATAAGGCATTTATGGAGCAAAACATGCAAACGATGTGGAGTTAATTAATTAATTAATTAATCCCAAGATATAAGTAGAGGATATAAATTAGCCAAAAATAACTGTACGATCAAAATAACCAACCGAAAGAATATTTCATTTTATTAAAAAATACTAGCCGCTATTATGAAGGAATGAAATTGTATGAAAACAAAAACCGATGCTGAGAGAATCTAATGTAATAATATTTGACACACAATTATTTTATTCAGAGATAATAAGGACTCGTTAGCCAATCATTTTTGAAATTTTTTACACCAAATCTTAGATTTTAATGAAAAATAAAGAACCATAAATTTTAAAATTTAGTTTGCCAATGTTGAGTTGTAGTAGCAATAATAATGAAATTTAAGTGCAAATGCGAATATTTTATGAATTGCGTTATAGTCACCTAATGGATTATAATATTAGAAAACTTTCATTGCCCTTTCATTTTTATTTCAATTCTGGCCTTCTAAATATAATAGTTAAATAATTTTTCAAACTTTTTCCTCAGTCATTGATTCTCACTCAACCACCCGTAGATAAGCTGTCGTTGTAACTTCACGCACTAATTTTTCTATTTACAATTTGGGATTTGAAAAATATTATTTCAAGCAAACATTCCAAGTGTTCATCCTCTTCCCAGTTGATTGCTAAATTACATACCAACTAAAGAATTCATGGAAGATGAAGTTAGTCATTCATATCTTACAGTCGATTAGAGTGTTCTGAAATTGAATTGAAATTACTGCTATTGCAATTTGATAATTGCTGAAAGTTACAAAATTAATAAAAACTTTGTCAAAAAACTGTAATTGCTTATTTGGGCATATAATTTATTTTGCTTTTGCATCAAAATTATAATGCAATGATCTGTTCTTTAATTTGAACTCATTTTCTCTTTTCATAAATTTGTGTTTATTTGTTTCCTTTTTTGAATTTTTAAGATTACTCTATTAAATCCGAAAATTTTAATGGCGGATACAAAGCCTAGTGTAGCGGAAAATATGTTGGCATTATTCATTATTTTTGTAGTAAGTTCGATTTTTACTACATTTATGCTTTTCCAAAAAACATCGAACTTTTTTTTAAAAAAATAAGTAATAGAAAAAAAAAAACAATGTTTTCTGTTGAAAAAAATAAATAGCAGAATGTTCATAAATCATTTAGTAAGTCGTATTTAATGTTGAAAATTTAATGACAATTTATTTGTGAAAAGATGATTTTTGTCAAGTGCAACATAATTTAGTCAATACATTATCCTACCTTGGATATCTTAGAGATTTTAAATTAATACTTATCACTTTGAGATTTTTAAAAATTAGTTAATGAATTACTCTAAAAAGATACAATTCCATTTTGAATTTAATGTCAAATTTTATTTAATTTCTACTTTAAAACAGGTGTCATTGTTTGGCTTCATCAGCAATGGCTTATCACTTCATCTCACAATCACAAATTCACATTTTCGGAATGCTTATGGCACTCTTTGTACGGCGATTTTGTTGTGTAATATACAAACGATGGCAGTTATACTAATTTGGGGAGCTGTTGTCCTACTAACGTAACACTTCTTTTTGCGCTTAATTTCAATTATCCGTGAAAACAAATCGGAATTTTAATTTGACAACTACTAATTTTTGCTGTGTTGAATGAACCGTTTCCAGGAATTCACGTGAGTTATCATCGCAGACATCTCCCATTGCCTTAATACCCGGATGCTTTGCTAATGTATCTTTTTACGGATCATTATTGCTGAATTTGTTAATTGCGGTAAATAGATACTGCGCTCTTACACATCCTCTCAAATATCATTCTTTTTGGTCTGTACAGAAAGCTCGTATAGCAGCAATTATTGCTTATTTTCTTGGGTTTCTTCCATGTTTTCCAAGCATTTTTGGTAAAGCTTTGTCAGATTCGTTTTTTTAGCAAAGTGAAGTAAGTGCAATTTATAAAAATGATAAATATTATCAGTGAAAGAAAATGGCTTACCGCAATTGAAGTTCAGGATTTCAGAAGCTTGATATCAACCAATAAATAATGCATCAACTTTATAACTTATGCTTACAGAACCCTGTACTCTCATTTTTAATATGGAATTGGATTTGCGCTGGAGCTACAGTAATACCAGTTGTGGTTATATCAATTCAATGTTTGACCTAATATTCTGTATTTCAACGCTGACCACAGCGGGATGCATTAACTTTATAACGCTTTTTAGGATTAGAAATTACAGTAAAGTTACGATTCACGGTTGTCTCATTAATTAGTTGCAATGAAGGAGTTTAATTAATACTTAAAATGCGTTGTTAACTGTTTGATAACCCAATTCTTCAGAAAATATAAAACATTTATTTCCCACCTGGTCGACTTGTATGCTTGGAACCAAAATGAACTAACTGTTTAGACTGAAAGCATTTTTCGAGCAAGTTTTTAAGTAAATACTTGTCTCAGTAAACTTAACTTTTTTCAGTCAAGAAAAATGAAAGTAGACCAACTGATAACACGTTCTATCAATCGCAATCGTGACATAGGTTTTTTTAAACAGGCAAGCACGCAACATTAAACTAAACAACAAACTGTGATAAATATTACAACGACTTTGGCTAGAAAGTCTACAACAATTGGCCATCATGCATTCATAAATTGTTTTTTCATTGCAGTCGTGTACCAGTGGGTTTACAATTATGATAGTTGGTATTTTCTTTAATGTTGGCCCACATTTTCTCACCAATAAATGGGCTTTATTTGCTGCGACTACAATTTGCTGGCAACTTTCGAATACCTTAGATGGGTGAGAGATTTGTTCCATCTACTAAAAATTACCTTTTCTTCTTTATATTTCCTTGCATCGTCGCTTATTGCAATTCTTTCTGGAATTATTTGCATCTGATGAAAATAATTTCAAATTGACATTTAAATTGTTAAAATAACATTTGTAATTGGGAATTGTAATATCTTCCAAGATTCTAAAATAAATTTTAAACTTGAAATGAAAGCAAATACAAATTTATTTGCAGGTTTGTTGTATTGTTCTTCAGTTGGCATTACGTCAGGAATTCATCAACAAATAGTAATAATTTGTTATCGGTCAAATTGTAGAATAGAAAGTCTGGATTAACTTTTAATAATTTTTTTTTTTTTTTTAAATTTAATTTTTTTTTTCGATGTCATAATATAATAGATTATAATTGAAGTAGTAATGGATCTAAGGCGACATGGATGGTAAGGTGACACTGGTGCATTCTTCCGATGGATAAAATCAAACATATGTGAGTGATACCCAAACAATCAGTTCTTATATTTTTTCACAAGAATAGAAAAAGCCGATATCGTGAATGATATGAAGATGGAAAATGAAGTTTAAAACTTTTGGTAATGAATTATTGTTTCATTCATGACAAATTAATGAATGAATTAGATGGATATGGATTAAATAAAATTCAAGGGTTGATTTTCAAAGGTTGTTTTCCCATAATTATTCTGATACCATATTATCATTGCAACAAAGCTGAAAAAAGCGTTTCAAAACAGAACATAAAAAAACTCAGAAAAATGTAATATTCGATTCCTAACTTGAATTCTGGTTTTTTTCACTTGAAAGAAGAAACCGCAATTCATAATTTCGTATTTTTTTACAGGAAATAGAAGACAAATTCATAAATTTTAATTCGCAAAAAAAAAAAAAAAAAAAAAAAAAACTGAAACGTAACTTTATTACTGATTTTTTAATTTTTGAATGGTCGAAAGAAAATTTTTAATTTTTAAAATTTTTAATCCAGATGTGCGACATATTTTTTCAAAGCATTTTTGAAATGAACGTTTAATATGCTATAAGCGTTAACAACATTAATTCTATTCAGCGATGTGTCTCAAATTTTTAATGCAGCAGCAAAAACTTTAATTTTTGGCAATTGTTGCACTCAGATTACACATTTGCAAGTGCTGGTTTTTGCCAAGGAGAAAGTTAGGTTAATTTTTTAAATTTTTCCAAATTCATTTCTGCACATTGTAAATACATGAAAATCCTCTAAATGTTGCACATAGATTGCAAACACTAATATATTTTGATTTTCTATTTAATGAAATTCCATTTTGTAGTTTGATTTATAATTTTTGCACAGTGGAAAATTTGAACTTTAATGGAAATGCATCTGCACCACCTTTTTCACCTGTCCTAATAAAATAAGTTATAATGTTGTCGGAAGAAGAAAAAAATTTCATTTCTTTTTTATCTTCATATTAATGAAAGATATTTAAGTGACATTCGTAAATCCGTTCGTTTCATCTCTTTTCATCATAGAATTAAAAACTTTGCAAGTAAATTGAGAAAGAGAAATGATTTGGAAATATCATTAATTCTGAGCAAGTTTTTTAATTATGAAATGGTATTTCATTAAATATTTAGTGGTTTTATCTGCAGGAGAGATAGCAAGTATTTCAGATAATGGAATGTTTTCCTTTTCGAGTGCGTTTCACTAACCACCTGCAATACTTTTGATAACTCAACTTCTTATATGCTCTACAAATTCTACAAAAAAATGGAGAAAGCACAAATTTGATGAATCATAATTGAATTATAGAATTGTTCTAAATATTATTGCATATTATTTGTCAACAAAAATAATACATATCATTACATATTATTTGTCAACAAAAATAATACATATCATTACATATTATTTGTCAACAAAAATAATACATATCATTACATATTATTTGTCAACAAAAATAATACATATCATTACATATTATTTGTCAACAAAAATAATACATATCATTACATATTATTTGTCAACAAAAATAATACATATCATTACATATTATTTGTCAACAAAAAAAATTTCACATACTTCATTAACGTTCAAGTTACATTATTAGTTAATGCCTTATTTAGTAGATTACCTTAAACTAATATCTTAATTAGTGGAAGCCATTCAATAAACTGCCAATAGCATTTCAGCATATCAATATTTATTAGCATGTTCCTGTTCATAATGAAAATTTCTAAAGCTTATATTTAATTCGAAATAAAAAAAATAAGTAAAAAATGATATTAGTTTTCAACTAATATTGAAATTATAGAATATCTTTTTAGAATTTTTCAACAATTTGAAAATTTCATGTAACTGAGAAATAAATTGCATTATAAAATATTAGAAAACTATTAAGCCATCAGTTAATCGAAATAATTGTTTAAAAATTTCAAATTTTGAAATTTAAATCACTACGGTAGGATATTGCAAGTATTCTCGTTATAACATTATATCATGGAAGATCACTTATCAATTTTTATCTTAACATTCACTGTCTGATAATTTCCTTCGGTTTTGTTTTTTTTCCAATCCCTGTCATTTATGATTGTCTCTGTCTATTAAGCATTAAGTTTTTTCTTTCCTTTTTTTTTTTTTTTTTTTGTTATTTTAATGATATTGATTTCAAGGACAAATTTCTCATTTTTAAATGCATTTCTAAAATATAACTTGTGATCTTTTTTTTTATTAGAAGTCATTAATATTATGAAGGTCACAATAATTAGGAAATAAAAGAAAAAAAAAAATCTTTTTGGAATAAAAGTGTTTCGTACTTTTATGATTTCAAAAATTTATGAAAAAAAAAGATTTTTTTAATTTAACGTTTGAGTAGTGAGAAAAAATTTGCTAGGAATAAATGAAGTTTAATTCAAAAGATGAATTATTGCTAAAAGCAAAAAATTTAATTTTTACGATTTAATTTGCTGGTAATTCAGTGTCACAGCAACAAACTCTAAATAAAATTTATAATGAATATAAGTTCCATTTTCTAAAATCAAAATATTATCATAAAAACTTTTTCTATGCTAGCATTTTTAGAACTGCTGCAAACTTCATAATCCTTCTCACTTAAATTATTATGGAATAATTTACTGATAACAAATACGAATCATCGGCTGTTATTTTAAAAAAAGATAAAGGAAAATACCTTATGAACAAATTACTTCAAAAAATCATCGTCAGATCTGTTTAAAATTTCCAATTGTAATTAACTTTCAGTTACTTTTTTATATTTATTCAATTTCTGACTTATTGTAGTAAAAAATGAGCATTTTAGAAGTATTTATATTCAATTTTCATCTAAAATTGTTGTTAGTAAATCGAAAAATGAGTAAGGGTTGTAATTATCAAAATTTGACAATTGCATGTCATTGCATTTTATTGCTTCCTCATCCATCCTTTCTCACAAAATCTTAGATTAAGGGAATAATATATCTTCGTTCCATCTATCGGAATATTTTTCTTTTTTGTTAAGAAATTCAATTTTTGTAATACCATCATTTAAAACAAGTTTCCTTTAATTTCTTTTTTAATTATAGAATAATAAATGTTTTAATTTATGTCTACGTTCATTCCAATAATACCAGCATAAATTAAAATTCTTATTAAGACAAAAATTTTTTCATTTTTCTTATTTGGACCTTAATTAAACGCTAATAAATTTTAAATATTAATCAGAAATAATGAAAAAATTTTCCTTGAAATTCTTTAATCTTTTCTTTTTTCATTAATAAAACAATAATTTTGGATGCGTTAATGAGAAGAATTGGCAGAAAATTATTTAATTAATCAGTAAAAAATAGTTAATTTCCTCATAAACTTTATATTTACTAAAAATTACAAATAGCATAAGACAATATTTTTACGCTATTTATAATCTTTCTAATAAATCATTCATTAATCGTTATAATAGTATCATTTATTGCTTTCAAGATATGAATTCAGGAAATTAAATATCAAAATGCCAGTTTTGATTTTGTTAAAAGAATCAAACTTATTAATCAAGAATATTTCAAATAAGCACTTTTCTTATTATACTGAATTCAAAGGACAATTAATGAAATGAATAGAGAACCTTCTTTTTAATATTGCTTTTACGGAACTAAAATAAAAAACCTGAAATATTGAGTATGCACACATTATAATCGTTAGCATAAATATATGGTTATTATGTTCTAATAATTCAATCTTAAATGGACTGAAATTTAAATGAATGAATTTTCTATTGTTAAGAAATTTAAGCCATTTATTTCATACTGGTACAAAGTTACTGATTGTTCTCACAGTGTTAATGACATGCTAATTTTTTGAAAGGAATAAATAAAGTAATACAAAAAATTGAGATATTTTATTCGATTGAATCAATCGTTCTTTGAATTTATTCTTTTTGTTGTTTTAAAAGCAAGAAATATAGGAAAAAAATTTTTGAAGCAACCAAAGAACAATTAACTTTCAAATCTAAATGTCAGTGATCGAGATCAGGAGACATCAACCTTAGAAAACAAATTCATTTAACTTATTTGATCTCTCTGATATCACTGTTATCCATACTACTTTCATCATTATTATCATTATCACTATCATTATTATTATCATCAACTAGAACAGCTGCAATAATAGGAACAACTATTATTATCCTACTATTAGTAGGATCGGTGCAGTAAGAATAGAAGGATATATTTTTAGCCCTTTGGGTTAAAAATGGAAGAGGGAATTGTTGGGTCACTCACCGATCGGTTGATCGGTCGATGGGCGGGGAATGATGGCCCATTTGCTGGGAAAGTAATAACACCGTCAAAGGTTTTTCCTCCCCTTAGGGCCATCGCGGTGATTTTGCCATCAACCAAACGACCAACCCATCATCAATAGACAGAGATGACAGTTTGGTTGCCGAATTTTGGCGTATGCTACAGGTTTGCGTATATTTGCGGTGGATGAAACTGCCAATGTGATGTATGATAGTGGCACGATCGACAGTAGTAGCAGCAGTTCTCTATAAAATTATATTATTATTATTATTATTATGATCTTATTGTTGTTCATTTCGTCAGCTTTATTACATTCATCAGTAACAGTGCGATTTCCGAACAAAAGGGTATTTTTAACTGTATTTCTAATTTTGCCATCGTTATGTTTGGCCACTGTCACCCAACATCCGATAATCTCAAATACAGCGGATATTCAATTAAATTCTGGTGCAGCTGCCCAAATACCTAGCATTATTGGTCATAATTTGGATACCGCTGTACATGTTTCATCTAAAATAAGAGTAAAGAATCGAAATTCGATCATACGTCAACATCACTGTCCATCAAACACATTCCGATGCGGCGATGGTTCTTGTATTCCTAAAGATTGGATCGACGACGGTGAAGTGGACTGTGACGACTTATCAGATGAACACATCCAGTCTACCACGCAGACAAGTGCACTTAGTGAAAGTGTCGAATATTCCACCACTGCCGAAGAAATCTTCGACGATCCGTTTGATCGTATTGTAACATTTTCATCCATTGATCAGTTACCATTTTCGATCTCACCATTACTGCGATCTGAAGAAGAGACAAAAAGTCATCAGTCATATGCATATGGTTGCTCGAATATTGTACAAACAAGAGTAAATCAATGTTCTACAGATCTCACCGACTGGATGGAACATTTAGATGACATTGATCTGACAAATTCATCCATGCTAAATGATGAAACAAGGTAAAGGAAATAAGAGATACTGTGTTTAGTAATTAGTCAAAACTAATTTTTATTTAAAACTTTATCATGGATAATGTCAGTTATACTAATCAATTCTTATTTAATTTTATAAGTTTTAGTATCATTTTGATAATCTTTTTTTTGTCAATTTTTGTTAATTTTTTAACAGTGAAATTAAAGTACTTTTATACTAAATTATTATCTTTTTGTAATAAAATCCAAAATTAAAAATATAATTGATTTACATCAAATTAGAAAGGAAAAAAAAACTTTTTTGACGAGAAATAAATAATTTTAATTGCTTTATAGTAATAGCTCCCATAATGAAATATTTTTTTTTTTTGCGATAATTACAAGTTTTAGTAAAGTAAAGTAAAGTAAACATTATTACTAATTAATAAAATGTAAAATGTTAGTGAAATACTGAAATAGTAATTTCTTTTTTCCTGAAAATATAATATGAAATATTATAATTCACAACATCAGATGCAAAAAGAAAAAGAATGGATTTTATTTGTAATAAATTACTTCAAATTGTAGCAAACTGATTTTAAAAAATTTTTGGGTAAAAAAATTCATTTTTTGAGCAATATCGTTCAAAAAAGGGAATTTTTGCCCTCCACTGTGGTAAACATAATCAGGAAAAAAGAAAAAATGATATAACATCAAGGAAATATAAATGAATTTTTGCTCTTTTCCTCATTTTTCAAAGCATTCACTCTTTTTCTTTTGTTTTTTTTTTTTTTTTTTTTTTTTTTTTTTACAGAAAATTTTTGATAAATAAAATTTATGTAAAATATGTCAAAAGATGCAAATATGATTTATTTTAGCTTTAGCGATGAAAATATTTGATTACTTCGAATAGAAAAAGACTTTCTCCAATAAAAAAAAGTGAACTCAGATCTCTTAATTATACCATTGAAAAAAAATTAATTTAAAATTAATTTATAGTATTGAAACAATTTGATTTAAAAATTTAAAAATTAAATTTAATTTTCAAAATTGTTGTGAATATTTTTTCTAGAAATTTCCTTTCTTGTTTTTCTCTGTGACCTTTTATCATAAATTACTATTAAATTCATTTTTTTTTTTTTTAAATTTATGCCTTCTGTATATAATAAATTATTATAATTCTAATATATAACAAAACATTCAATTCATCTTATAAAGCTCAATTCATTCCTTTATTTTCTTAATCAAAATTTTTTTAAAAAAAAAAAAACGAAAAATTACGGAATGTTTTATTTGAAAATTGGCAAAAAAAGTACAATTTAATTTTAAACGTTCATAACAAAAATGTTAACCGATTTTTTAACTTTTTCAGCTAAAATATTTAATTTGTAATTAAAAAAGAAAAATGACCTTGATTGTAAATGACGACAATCATTCTTAATCATTTTTTCTTCTTCCTTTCTTCTTTCGAAATGAAATTTCAAGGCTGCTAAGTTCAATGTCTCTCTTCTTACAAATATACCTGAGAAAAGTTTCGTTGTCATTCGCTTATAAAGGTCAACAGTGATAAAAAGATTAATGAAAAGTTTTAATTAGCAAAAGGAAGTTGTGACAAAGAATATAGATTAGCATGCTGAATGAAATAAGATTAAAATTTAATATTACTCAGAGATTTTGCAAATTCCAACTTTGATATTGTTTAAATAGTAAAATTTTGTATAAAAACTGTTTTACGTAATGGCTATTAAATTTTAGCAAATTTTTTGGCACTAATAAATAAGAAAATTTTAGGAAAAAAAAGTGAGAAAAATTTAACTTTCCTGATTTGATTGAGTTGGTTCAGTTCGAAAAAACAAAATAGCTTTTGTCGTCTTAAATCTCTTTGAGATCTTATTTAACCAATTTTTTTCCTTTGTAATGTTAGTAAATTGAAATGTGCTTCAATTTTATTTTAATTTTCAATACACTTTGATCAATAAATTCAATTAATAAATTTTAAAATGTTATTAGGATATTAAAGGACCGATAATATAATGAGATGACGAAGAAATTAGATCATTGAGCTAATTTCAATATTTAATAAAATTGCATGTAAATATTTTTCAAAAAAAAAAACGAAGAACATTCTCATAAAATTCTTTCGTCATTTTAGTCCGATTAACGTATTTTCAAAATCATATAATGAAGCTTTTTTGTCACCAATTTTTAGCATTTTATTTAAAATTTCTTATTTGTTTACATATAACTCAACAATTAAATATTTTTATCGAAAGAAAACGACAAACAAAAAGTGATAAAAGTGATATTATTTACGATTATGCCACTTTCTTTTCATTAAAAAATAAATCATTCATTGCTCATATAATTTTATCGATTTAAATAATAAAATAGTAATAAATTTTGCTATTTTTCAATTCTTCTCTCGCTGTGTAATTAATTAATTAATTAATTAATTTTTTTTTTGTTGCTTTAGCTTGTTAGCAGCAAAGGAAATATGAAAGGTTGAAATAAAAATGAAATAAGAAAAAAACTGTGAAGAAATGATGATGTTTACAATGATAAATGCCGTATAAGGAAAGGAAAGCGGTGATAATTAATAGCAGAAGAAAGTAGAGTTATCGAAAATGATTGTATGGAAGAATGATTAAATTTAAAATTAAATATATAAAATAATTTGTAAAGTGTTAATAATAGTGCTCGTAGTTGATAATCATATTTTATGATGATATGATAAGAAAATGAGATGTAACGAGTAACTTACTCAAATGACTTTTAATTTCATAAATGATACTTCATGTTTAAATTTTTTTTTTTGTAACTTATAATTGTTCAATTTTTAATCTTATCTATTTCTATTTGATTATTTTTCATTAAAAAATTAACCATTTGTAAACAACTGACAGGAAAAAAAGATGAAACTATCATAGGTAATTACAAATTTTATGTTTATTTTATTATTAATTTGGAATGGAACAATGTAAGATAATTTTAAATTGTTGTTTGCAGTGCAAATTTCGTAGTGTTAATGTATATCCTTGTGAGAATTAGTAGAATGGAACTAGATTTTATTATGACTTGAATTTATCTGATAGCCTCAGGGTAAACTGATAAACATTTCAAAATAGAAATAGCTACATCAATTCTATTCCAATCGAACTGCTTATTAAATTCCGAATATTTCGTATTTACTTTAGTAATACAAATATAATTTGTGAAAAAAAAAAAAAAAAACATATAATAAAGTATAGATAAGTTGATATTAATGTCAACTTTTTTACTGCAATAACAATAAAGTATAAATTGTAGTTGAAATCGCTCTTCTAAATTGTCTCTGCGATACAAAGATTTAAAATTCCAACTTGAAATTTAAAAGAAAAACGAAAAAAATACTATTGGAATTAAAAAAATTAATTTCGTTTCACAAAATGTAATCATTTGTAGATGGCAGATAATGGATCAAGGATGTGAATTATTATTAGAATTTCGAACCTGCACAGAAACGCTTAATATTAGCGCATGTACACTACCAAAATCAATTGAACTCTGGAATAGTATCGAATTGTACACCTGTCAATTGCTGATGCCATCGGTTAAAGAATATAAAAAATGCTTTTTAAATGTTCGAAATCAACAGTGTGCAATTGAGTAAGTTCTGTTATTTTATTTTCAAAAAATTCAATTATTTGAAATTATCTTCAAAAATTTTTTGCCGAAAATCTTTTATTATTAATTGCAAAAAAAAAAAAAAAAGTTTTTTTAATTTTTATTTTAGAAATTTTTTCAAAATTATGTCAAAAAGAATATTATAAGTCATTTATAATTTTTGGAGCGTTTTTTTTTTTTTTTTTTCTAATTTTATTTTGATTGTTTGTGAATATATGTATATGAATTATGAATGAATTAGTTTTGAAACGCGAATTTCTATTATATTTGATATCAATAATTTATTTAATTTCCAATTTAGTTAAGCGATTTTCACAATTATTTTTGTGTTTATTTTTCGTTTCCTCCACTGCTTATTTCAACTTTTTCTTTGCTGCTTTCGAAAAAAAGTTTGAGAAGAAAATCACCAAAAAAAGAAATATTTTCGTAGTTTTTTTCTTAAAATTAAAATTTATTACCAATTTTCAGATTAAATTTTGTTCTATTTTGCTGTGAGAAACAAGTATTTCATTTTTGTCTTATGTTTGCTGTTTATTTTAAACTTTCTTTAAAATTTTTTCTTCGCTACTCGTTTTTCTCCCCAATATGCAGTCACAAAGTATATGAAAAATTTTGAAAAAATATTCCAATTTAATATTAAAATTTGAAATATTCCAGTTAGAAGAAAAACGAGAAGAATAACGCACTGCTTTTTTTTTTTTTTTTTTCTTATTTTTCGAATATTATTTTATCAAGAACGTATTTTTAAAAGAGAAATGAAATTGCTTCTTTTGTTAGTATTTGTTTCGAAAATTTTCAAATGGAAACGTTTTCCCTAATTTTTAAATTTAACAATTGATCAAACAGATTGATTTATGCTTTTATAAAATTTAGTGCTCATTAAATGTCTTTTTTTGTTTTTATTAACTTTCATATGTTAGAAAGCAAAAAAAAAGAAAAAACGATTTTCTTTCAAAAAAAAATTAATTAATTAATTTAAAGTTTAACAAATCGATTACATACGTACATTTCCTTTCGCATTAATTCAAGGAGCGTTCTCACTTGAAGAAGTTAATAAGGCTTAATTCAACTGATGAGAAGAAACCAATTTCGAAAATTTTTTTGAATTGTTTGGAAGTTTTGTATAGAAAAAGGAAAAATCAACAGTGTTGTAGGTAAATAGTAAAATTAAATATATTGAAATGGAATGAATTAATACAAAAATTTAAAATTCGAAGTCATTTCATGTCACTTACTTTTCATTCTAGTTCAAGGTCAAATATTTATGTGATTCATTTCAAACATTGTTAAAGTGAAATTATTAAATGTCAATGTGTAATGGAAATACTTATCAATTGCATCATTTAATTTGGTAAAATGATTAAATTTAAAATTTTTAGTTTCATTTTTTAGCACACACAGGAAATTACTTGCTTATTTGTGCATAACTAATCAATTTGTTTAGTATTATTAATAAAAAACAAAAAAATTTTCCCTTTTTATTGAGAAAGTAAAGAATAACATGGAAAAATAAATAGTAATTGATATGACATTATCACTAATAATTTTTGTTGAACTATTATTCATTTAATTTTACTAAAAAAAAAAGATTGACTTATCATTATTAACTGTTAAAAAGATTTAACGTGTAAGTTAGCTGACTTTTTTATTTACAATCCAGTGCATGTATGAATTACTTTGCTTCTGTTGAAGTTCTAAAAAAATTGAAGCAAAGAAAATAAAATTAGGAAAGATTAAATTGAGATTAAAAATTGAAATTTAAAATGAGTTGCTGGAACAAAACTGAAGAAAAAGAATTTTTTTTTCTTTTTGAAGAAAACATAACTCCCAAATTTTTAATAATAAAAATGAAAATATAGAAATTTGGAATGCTTCTTTTATTTGAAATTAAGTAATGTAGAAACATATATGAAAGGTAACTTTTTGTGCTAAAATTTTTTTAAATTAAGTGCAAACATATGATATAGGTAAAACGAGATCCAGTTTTATTATTAAATAATAAATTCATTTAATATTTCATCGAATGATTTTTGTTTTTTTTGTTTAATATATTGAATTTGTTGCGCTATCGATGAGATAGAAAAACTTTTTTTTCAACTAATCATTCTTTCCCGTAAAGACAATCTTCGTTCCTTCACGAAAACATTTAAGTTATTCTAGAATTATTTTAGAAAAAATGCAATATATCGATTAGGAAAAAATAAAAATAAAAACAATTTTTAAAAAATAAATAAATCACTGAGAGATATTTGCAGCAATAATATAAACCTTCAAGGATCACCGATCTGTCAAATTTTGGCATCAATCAGATCTGATTTACGTTGCATTCAAAGAAATAATCGGAATGGCTGCACAACAAATGCTTTGGAAATAATTGAACCACTTGAAAGTGAAACGGATCATTTGTACACGCAATTAGCGTGCTCTTATATTACCGCCATTACCGCTTCCACCGCTTCGTCTACCTTTTCTAAATCTACAGGTATTTCATTCTAGTTACAACGGATAAGTCACAGTGAGATATGCCTCAATTATTGATAATGATAATAATAATTTGTGAATTTATTGTGCATTTAATTACTGCATGCTTGTTTTCTTTTGTAAGATAGTTTAAATAATTTTCAATTTAAAATTTAGAACGCAAAAACTTCACTTTTTAAAAGAAATAGAAATATAAAACGATATCAGTAATTTATTTTAGATAACAAATTAAATAGTAAGCATTAAGAGATGACTGATTGTTAACGGCGGATAAGTGACATTACATTGTCATAGCAAAGATATCCTTTCATGATTTCTCAGAATAATAGAATACAAGCATAATTAGACAAAATAGAGCAAATTTTAAGGAAAATTTTCTTTTCTTTTTTTTGCAAATTAACAATATGTAATTATTTGATTAAATTTTATTTATGACTAAATAGATGATATATTAGTTTGTGAATTTTAAATCACTTTTTAAGTGTTTGTCCATTTATCAAATTTGATTTTTCATTTTTATTTTTATTTTGGAAATTTTAGATGAAAGCAGCAAGTTAAAAGTTAATGGCTCACCATATGACATACTGCATATGTTCACCAAAGTTAATACTATCTGTTCACAAATTATCAGTGAAGCGAAATGGGAACCAATTTATCGTATAGTTTGTGAACATCGAGAAAAATTAATGGAACAAAGAGAATGCTTTATTAATGCTTCGTTAGGCTTAGAACAGTGTGATCAAAAGGTGAACAATATAGTATTATTTCCATTTCTAATAAATCATTTAATAAGTTTATTCGACTTCTCTGACACAACAAAATTTATTATAAAATATTTTTAATTATGGCAATAAAATAATCTTTTGTTGTTTTTTTTTAAACAATTTTTTCTGTTTCAATAAAAATTCTTTCTCATACAACTGACAAAGATTAATTGAAAAAATTGTTTAATGAAATCTTTTTGGTTTCTGATTTGAATGTATCATTTTTATTGAAATTTTATGCAAATAATAAGTTGAAATAACTTCATTTCCATCTTTTTTTTTTTTTTTTCATTCAAAAAACCCTATCTTAGATTCCCTTTTAGTAATTATAATAAAAATATTCTTAATTATGATAACAATACATATATAATTATGATAGCAATATCTCTACACTTAAGGCTGCTAATAATGATCATTCTCGACAATACTTTTCTTACATTTAGTAGTAAAAATTAGTTGTTTAAATGGTGCTTATAAATACATTACTTTTGATAAGGATATAATCCTATCTTATCACTGAATGTAAAATCATCTAATGATAGCATTATTTTACTTAAAAATTTAAATAAGATTTTGCATACTTACTGTAAACTTTCACTGTTTTTTATTTAATTTAAAATAATATTAATATTGAAGCCAAAGAACGAAACAATCTGCAATGCATTGGAACAATTTAGTAATAACATCGATTGTGCGCTACGTGTTATGCTTGACGTATGCACAATTGAGGCGCAAAATGTTGCTGTATTAGTGCAAGATGCATTGAGTGATGATTTAATTGTGCATCACTGTTATGCAGAAGCAATTACGGATGATAAATCAATGAGTAATGATGAATTCAAATTAAGTCCAAAGAATGTACGATGTACCTCAGAACAGGTATGAATAATAGTGTTATATTAATTGTTAGAAATGTGTAATTAAAAAATTAATTTTATTATATAAAAATTTGCAGTTGCATTTGAGTAATTTAATAATCTGTATGTGATAAAATTAATAGATGCAATATTTGCTCAATTTATATCGTCCTAATTCTATAAAATTTTAAATTTAAATTCTATTAGCAATTTGTTTGATAACGATACATCAATTAATTTAAGGAAAATTTGGCTCTAGCATGTTTGGTGGAACTTGTTGAAGTTAATCGAAAAATAGCCGAATTAAATAGTCTCAACTTTTTGCATGAAATTAGTCAACAAAATTCAACAATCATTTCTGGAATTTGTAATTTGTACAACAAATATGATAATTGTATTAGTAATACGGTATTTGTTCATTCCAATGGAAAAAGATGTGCATTTAATTCACCATTAAATACTCTTGCGAGGTATTATACTTTCGTTTTTTTTTTTTTTTTTTTTTTTCATTTTTTAAAGAAATAATCAAAATTGAACAATTATAATTGAGTTTAAAGTTCTGATATGCCTTATCCTGAAGCTAAAATAGACTGATAAATTGTAATTTTACATTATCGTTGTAAAATTTTCCTTATCAATTATATAAAAATCATTTCATAAATAAGCAAAATTAGAAATTCTTTTCTGCCATTTAATTTTTTGCTCGTTTAATTTAATTAACGTTTCTTTCCATTTGTAATAGATGCGATATGATTGTTTCAGGATTGGATTAGCACCTATTTGTAGTAAACGTACACGTACGCTATTACATAGCAGCAACGAGTGCATTCAAAAGATTAAAAATCGTACCGGAATATGTCAATCCGGATTGAATAGTCTTGGCTTAGCAATCCATAATATGTTACAAGTTATTTTTTCATATATTTTATTGTTCTTTTCTCATTTCGATAAAAATAATATCAGAGATAAATTCATGAATTATATATTTATTATTTATTTATTTATTTGCTTATTCATTTACTTATTAAAAATATATTATTATGGAAATATTTTTAGTCCAAGCAGTAAACAAAGGTATATTTGTTTTCTTATTTGCTAATCATTAGGAATTTAATTATCATGCGAACACATACATGCGTAATTATAGATTAAAAATAAATAATATATACAATAGTGATTTTAAATTAGTTATATTATTATCCATTCACTTTGAAAAACATATCAAAATTATTAATTCGGAATAGAAATCATTTATAAAATAATACCGTAGTGTGAAATAATCATTGACCGAAATTTTGGTATAATCTTAGAGAATTCATGAATCTAAAATGATAATAATAAGCAGTTATTCTTTTAATTTGATAATTTTTTTAGAATATCACTCGAACTTTCTTTGTATTAATATCAAATGATACTAACAAAGCTTTTTTTTAAAAAAAAATTTTTGCCATTTTATCAAATTAATCAAATGATTGTTAAGTTTTTCCTTTCTCTTACTCATTTTCTTTTTTCTTCTTTATTTATGCAAATTTTTTATGCCATTTTTTTTTTTCTTAAAGTCATTAAAGTTTTAGTATAACACATTCTTTTATATATGCTAAAAATTTTTTTCAACTATTTTCGTTCAGAATTGCTTTAATTTTTTACGAAATATCATTGAGTATATTTGTTTTGTCAATTTTTTTTTATTATTTTATTGTTTTGCATATTTTGTTATTATTTTTTTTTATGTTTTGTCAATATTTTACTAACAGTTCCAATTTTGGCATAATTTTAGGGAATTCATGGTGAAGCATATCTTTGCAATTCATATTATCTTATTCGGGATGCATACCAGTGCGGTGAGAAAATTTTCATCGAATTCTGTTCAGCAGAAGCTATCCAAAATTTGCAGCAACTATGGCGATTGGTTTGTGTTATATTTATTTCTATGTGAAATGCTGAAATTCGAATTATCTAAAAAACTGAAATTACCAAAGTTAACTAAATTAACCTATAAAAATAATTAACTGACAGGTGATGGAATTAGGAGTCGAAGAAGGTTGTCCCAAAGAACGTCCAAGTAATTTGGATGAAATTATCGCACGACCAATAATTGCGACACCAATCGCTAATCCAATGATAAGCTCTTTTCTTTATTCATTCATTTCTTTGAAGAAAATTCTTTCCTTCAAAGAAGAGATAATTTGAAAAAGAAATTTAAAAAATTTAGTATTAATTTTTAATTGAGAACATATAACTTTTATTTGTTACAATATTTTTTATTATTGTATTTTTGACTGCAATCACAGTTCAATTAGGTCTTATTCTAATACTGAGTCTATTTATAAAAATCATTTCATAATTTTATTTACATTTATTTTATCATTGTACTAACTGTCTAATAAGTTTGATTAATCCATTTTGCTTCTTTTCTAACTTCAATTAAAAGGCATAAATTAATTGTTAATTCAAATTCAATTAAAGCTAACTTTTAAAATCAAGCACAGTCTTTAATTTAGTTAAAAACTAGCATTTCTCCATCGGAAAAAATACTTCGAGTAAAAAATGATTAAGTAAAATAAACCGTAAAATTAATTGCTTGCTATATTTCAGATCAAATTAGTATAATCAAATTAATGTTAAGGGTAAAAGAACTTCGCATTTTTTCGTCCATTTTTTTATACTAATCTATTTTTTGTTTCCGTTTTAAATTCAACCGGTATCACAATCGGTCGCAACTTGTCAACTGGCAGAACAGAAGCAATTCGCATCATGCATTCAAACAATTACTACCTACCAGCCTCATCCCTTGGCTGTCATTAAGCAGCCAAAACAAATTGACGAGGCCTGTAAACAATTTGTCGAATTTAAAAAATGTCAAGCTAATATTAGCTGTATTCCATTATGGGCCAAAGGGATGATAGCAATGTTCGATTTTGCTTGTGGTCCAGGATATAGCACATATTTACAGGTAAGAGAGTGAAAACTTTTAAGAGAAAAGAAGGAAGGTCAAGGTAATAAAGTGAGGTCAATTAATTGCAACTCTCAAACGAATAAATTTAAAATGTTAGTCCAATGCACTTATGGGAAAAAACTAATTAACTGAAATTGGCTAGTAAATTAACAGTTAATGATATGATAACAATTTAGTCAACTACTTTAGGTACGGCAATGCATTCGTAAAACGACCACGCGTGAAAATATCCGTGAATGTGTAAGCGAGTTTTCACGTAGTTCACCGCAAATAGCTTGTCAGAGTTCCAGAAAATTGCTTGCTTGCTCAATACCTGTAATTAATGAGAAATGTGGTCAAGTTGGTGCGCAGTTTGTTACCGATTACATTGATAAATTTGTGAACGTTGTTGACCCTACATGCAAAATTGGAATGCAACAAAATGGTAATTGTTAATTAAAATTTAAAATGGAAGATAATTAGTCAATTTTCTGATAATTTAGAATTTAATTTCTTATTCTGAAATTAAAACTGTTTGAAACTGTTTAATATACATAAAACTGATAAGTTCTTAATGGATTATTAAATAAATAATTAAATTTTAATAGATAGATGATTAATTTATTACCATTAGCTTGCAATTTATTTACTTGCTTTTCACTTAGTTACCTATTACTTTACTTACTTATTTAGTTCGATATATCTATTTATACACTTACTCATTTCTCTATTTAAAACACCTGCTGATCTATTTATCATAATTATTAATTTGACATTCACATTTACTGAAGCGAGTTGCTTAAATTCGATTTTATTACTTTTTAAATGTGTGATTCATCTATTTTTGCACTTAATTGCGTGCAATGAAAAAATGCTATAAAATGGAAGAATGGTCTTTAGATTTAAGCATAGATTATGATTATGCTTAAATTCAAAGTTATAAATTTGAAAAAATAAAAATTAACTTTTACAGATAAATCAATTCGAGGCTATAACTGTACGATTGAAGAAAATGCTCGCATCAGTTACTGCGCTGCACCAATTAATGAATTAACATCCAGAATTGATGAATTATTTGAAGTATGAATTTAAACTTAAACTCTTTCTTTATTAATATATGCTTATGGCGGTGAATTAATTTATGAACAAACAAAGGACTAATTAATTTCATTAAATTCATCGCAATAATTGATATTATAATAATAATAATAAATGCTGGCAGTGATAAACTTACATTTTATCAAATTTACAGGGTGGATTGCAACAGTTTCTGGTTAATGTCAAAAATTTGGCACCTGTATTTGCGAAAGGTTGTAATTTGACCAAAGAATTCAGACATTGCTTGGGACCATTGATAGAACAGCAATCCGAGCAGCAATGCACCATTTCAAGTTGTTTAATTCAGGCTGGTAATGGAATATGTAATCAGCCTGATACTGCCAAGGCTATTGATGACAATTTGGCTTGTGTTTTTAAACAGGTTATGTATGCATCACTTCTGCTTTTTCAATTCTAAATTTAATTTTTAAACTTTTTAATATTTGTTAACTCAAATAAAAAAAATTGCTTCCCTTTTTTTTGTTCGGATTTATTGAAATTTTTGTGAAAATATATAGTATAACATGCAGTCTTGTTAAAATACTTTTAAAAAAGCCAATTTAATTTAAAAAATATGTTAAATTTGAAAATATCGAATAATAATACTTTAGAAATGATGCTAATGAAAATAATAGTATTAATAATTGGAAACTGAACAAATTATTTTGTAATTGAAAATTGTAATTCGAAATTGCTTAAGGATTTAATAATTTTGCTGTAAATAATTAATTACCTTCATTTGACAAATAAATGACTTTCATTTATTCTATTATTTTATAGGCATCAATACCTGAATTTGGTCGATGTCTACGATCAACGATAGCAACACTGAAGCAATTTAATCTTATCGCATTACGCGGTGTTTTACCACAATTTATCAAATGCATTGAGCATATTGTCGTGCAGCATTGTGGTGAAATACCATTAAACGTGTTACGTGCAATTAGCGCAACTGATATCTGTCCAATTTCATTTAATTATAATCAATTAGGATCAGTTAGTGGTGATAAGACACAGATATGTGACACAGAAATGCAACAGAAGCATGCGGAATGCACCGGGAATTTTTATCGAAATTATCGAATGTTACCAATTGCGCTTTTACGAGATCCATCAAGTATTGATATGGTAGAAAATTTTAGAATAATTTAAATATTCTTTATTTACAAATTTTTAAAATTTGAAAAGAAGTGGATGTCTTACATATATATGCATACATATTTGCGAGAATTTATCAAACGTTACTTTTCCCTTCACGTTTTTATTCAAAATACTCAATCTAAGAAATTCAAAAAGTTATAAGTAATTTTTTTTCTCTGAAAATCATTCCATTATGCGAAGACATATTCGTTACTACTTTTTACGTCTATTTCGCTAATTTTTGTGTTTCGTCATATTACCTTAAAGTTATAGTTATAATTACGTGTAGCATCTATTCATCCCTAATTTTTATAAGCATTAGGCAGAAAAAAAGAAAAATAAATTTATTATTTCGTTTCTTTTTTTAAAGAAAACAATTGAATATATCATCAAATTTAATTTCAAAAAAAAATGGAAAAATGGAAAAATTGTTAAAAAAATAAGTTTTATTTCATATTACTTTACAGTTATGCGTAGATGCATCAAAGTTAGCCACTTGTTCATATCCGATATGTGATACAGCTAAACAGAAGGCGTTAAATGCATTAGCTGAATTTATTTGCACTCGGCGTGACACATACAAAGAGCATTCCATGTGTTTGACGTCTGTTATTACTTCATCAGAGGTATGTCTTTGCTATCATTAAAGGAAAATTTAGTCCAATTAATCTTAATATTAGTAATTAAAAAAGATGAAAATTAATTATTAAAGTCAATTGTTAAAATTAATCACAAACAGATTTAAATTTTTTCAGTTTTTTGCCTTATATTGCATATTTTTTGCTTTCTTTTTTCTTCAAAAAAACGTAATTTAATTTAAAAGTAATAAAATTATTATAAAAGAGAAAGTTCTTTTCTCTTTTTTATTAATAAAAATTTGTTAAAGGGATCAAAATGCCTGACATCATTCTTGCCAACAGCGTCAGAGCAACAATGTTCCTTCCTTACAAACGTTGCTAATTGCGCCACGCCATCTATTCACAATTCATGCGGATATGAAGCGTTGGCGCTATCTTTTGAAGGAATGCATATATTTGCTAATGCGGTACGATAGAATTACTTCATTTAAATTATTTATTTTTCAAAAAAAAAGTTAACTGAAAATCCAGAAAATTTAGAAAATTTTAATATTTTTACTTTTTTAATCGAAGAGAAAATGAAAATCGAAGTATAAAAATGAAAATTTTCACTTCTCAGTAATAATTAATCATTACTTCTGATTAAAATTACTAATTCATATTATTGCAGTTAAATAAATCATGCAGTGTACAAATTCCTATTGCATCAGTAAAAACAAGTTGCGCTGAGTCCGATATTGTCGAATATTTGCAATGCGAAAATTTGATTGATCATTTTACTTTTGCACCATTTTCATTCATTAGGTACCTAGTTATTGTTGAATAATTAATGCCATATAAATATTAATTCCTATTTCATCGTTAGATATTGCAGTGAATTATTTAAAATCACAGGCTGAAGGGATTTCTCGTAATCATCAAATTATTCATGCATCAAAAACATTTCAAATTTCTATTTTCATTGTTTTATATTATCATTCCTTACTCTTTAAATTCTTAATTTTTATAAGACAGAGGAATTATAGTACTTTATCAACCGCATGAAGGATATTTGAAACATTTAAATTTTTAATTTCTATTTAATATATTAATTAACACAATTCATACAACGGATTAGAGCAGTAAATAATATATAAAGAATATTTAGATCGTGTTTTTTTTAATTCTCATTAATGTTAGCTAGTTAAGTAAATGATTTGAAATCAGATTTTTTTTCAAAGGGATCTTTTTTACAAATTCAATTTTAAATCATTTTAAAAAACTTCTCATAAATTAAGAGTGATAGGAAATTTCAGTGTTATTATTGATAAAATGAATATTTTTTTATAACTATACAATAATTTCATTATCATGATTGTAGGAATAGCTCACAATGGAATGAATTTTGTGAAGTGATAAGAGATTATGAAAATTGCTTAACAAATATGTCGTGTCGTGTGGAACCGATCTCATCAGCAAATATCGCACTTTTTCGAACAATTTGTGGAAAGGAAGAATCAAAGACGAAATATTTCCTACCATGTCTCACTCATTTTATCACTACTGATATTGGCAAAAAATGTAGTGAACCATTCGTTGGTTTAGATTTATTGGCTAAAGATAATTCGCAAAAAATTTGTTCAACGTTAGTTTGATTGGTTATTATTAATATCATTATTATTATTATCGTTATTATTATTGTTATTATTATTATTAATATCATTATTATTATCGTTATTATTATTATTTGATTAATTAGTCACAAATTTAGTTTCTGAACATTTTTCTTTTGAAATATGCATGCTCAAAACTGAATTTATTAAAGTTTCCTTAAACTCTTTTACTTCTTTCAAAAAATGTTTCTATTATATTTTTAATATTAGTAAATGAACAAATATATGTTTCTTTTTTAGCAAAAGTAATTTAAGATTCAAATTTTGGTTTGAAAGTAAATTTAATTTGTTATATTTTTAGCCTAAAAAGTATGCTTTCCTGTGCATCATCTGAATTATCAGCACAATGCAGCGAACAAGCTTTAAAGCATGTTGTAAGCATGTTTCTAATATGGGTGCGAAAGTTTGATCCTAGCTGTTCGATTTCCGGTTACGGTGCAATTGATGAGCGGAAGATAGAAGAAGACTTTTCACTTGATTCCGGTCCAATACATATCTCAGTGGATCAAACAGCATTACCGGTTGATCAGCGAATACCATCCATTACTACGACTCCATTATTGCCAAAACCGAAGAGTGATAACAGTTTATCAGATTCCAACAACTTTCTAACTAGTGGTAGTATCACTGTATCAGAAGTGGAACTTCTAACTGTATCACAACCGGATTCAACTTCATCATCATCTGATATCGAATCTGTATCTCATCGAAGAACAGGTATATCCTCGACGACACTAACCGTTCCGGAACTAAATCCAGAATCGATAAATGCAGAAAATGATTTCACTGATTCCACTTCTTCTCTACAACAATCACTTTTTGACATATCACCGAAAACGAAATCAAATGTCACAATTAATGCGAAAAAATCGAAAATGCAAGGTACTGTTCTTTCTGAAATTGAAAATTTTTTCTCTAATTTGAAAATTCTAAATCTTATTGTTACAGGAAACTTTATTCAATCTTATTTTTTAAATTCGTTTCTCGTTTCTTGACTCTTTTGAATTCTAAAACTTTCATGGTTTCAATGGAAAGAAATTCGTTGGATAAGAATGCTTCTTTTTAAATATGAACAAAAAATCTGAATTTTTTTAGGCATTTTTTTTCATTTTTTTTTTCATTTAATTCTTTGTAATACGTAGTGTTTTCATAATTATTTTCTAATTATGGATGATTTTAGGTTTATATATTCAGCAATTATATCGTCTGATTATAACTTTTCAAAATGCTTTTTTAACATATATTTTTAACATTTTTTTGATACAAATATACCTGAACAAAATATGCTTAATAACCCTGTTTATTTGAAAAATAATTTTAAAAATAATTTATAAATATATTTTTCTAGTCGATGAAGATTAATTTTACTACTATCTTCTATAATTAATAAGTAACATTTAACTAAATTAACATGTAAAATTTAAAAAGTTTTTTATTCCAGTTCTTATAAAAAAAATTTTTAAATGAAATAAAAATAGTTTTTTTTTTTTAATTTCTTTTCAGAATCAGGACAAATGCGCAGCAATCCATTACATTTATGGATTTTATCAATTGTAATAATTATGTCAACAATAATAATGCCTTTTGTACAGTAAGGATGATGTTGCAACACAAATATGTCTCATTTAAGTGTCATGTAAATTTCATCTTATTGTTGTGATGAAGCGGCGTTCTTTTCTTTTCTTTCTCGAAATATTTGTACCATTCTGTGCCTTATTATTATATTAATATTATTATTACTATTATTTACCTTTTTCTCTTTAATTCATTTTGAAAATAAAATTATTGGATAAAAAAAAAATTTTCTTATCGTTTATTGATTAAATTTTTATCAAACCAATTCAGAAGAAAAAAAAAGCATTGTTGAGATTCATTTCTTTTAATATAAGTATAAAGCAGTAAATTTGAAAATGAAAATATTACTGTTATATTATTGGCTTTATTTTTTGATTATTTGAATAAATTGTGCAGCATTATTGAAGAATTTTTATTAAAAAAAATCTTAAAATTTATACTAGTCGTTAAGGTAATTTAATTTTAACATACACCAATATTTCCATGAAAATTTTTATATTAATCAATTTTGCATCTCTATAAATAAATATGAAACTTTTCCATCGATAAATTAATTAACAAATAATTATCAATTCATTCCGTGAATAATAACAGCACTGATAAGTAATACAAACCTCAGAAAAATAAGATAATAAATGTGATCGATTCAGATAAGTAAAGTAAGTTATTATAAATCTCTGATTTATATTGAAGTAATATTTGAAAACAGCCAAAAAATAAGTGAAAAAATAGAGATTGCATAACAAATTAAATACTTTTTGCATTTAATTATCAAAACGTAATTACCATCACAGAGAAATAGCAATCTATAAATTTTTAAATTTCAAAAAAGATGTTTATTAGATCTAAACTGAAGAATTCCAGGATAAATTAATCAATTGATTCGTATTAATCGATTTTTATTTAACACATAAATGAATAAGGTCAAAGTTCATCTTTCATTGCTGCTTGTCGAACTTTTGCCATCACTGGACAACCACCATAATCAGCACTATTCTCATCCATTTTGTCATTTTTATCCTGCAGTAATTTATCGTTTTAAATATCTTATCTTAGCAAAAAATAAATAAATACTGATAAGTTTTAGAAAAAAATTACCAAATATGATCGTTGAATAATTTGTACTTCGAATGGAATTTCAATTATTTGTTCTCCAAAGATTTCATTTATTTGCGCCAATTGTATGTATCGAAGTGGATGAACATCCCCAATATCTAATATCCCTGAACACTTTTCTTTCTCCATATTTTTTTCAAAAATTCATTTCGAAAAAATTTTTTAATTTTTCAAAAAAAGTGTTTTTGATATTTGTTTAAATTTAAATTAATTTACCAAAAGATTTTTTCCATCTCCTGCATAAAATATGATTTGTATTAGGAAGCATTATCTCATAGATCAAATTTCCAAATTGAAATTGAAATTTCACCACAACATGTTTCACATAATAATTTATATGCAATTATTAGTAAGCAATATTAACTTTGAAATACTGACACCACTTTTTTACACTAATTTATAAAATATTCAAACATTTAAATTCAAACTTATCGGTTCGTTAATAGTAGCAACAGCAATAAGCTGAAGCAAATCTCCACTTTCTAAACTATTTTTAATGTCTAACGCATAAATTTTCTCCTGAAAATTTCAATCCATAATCATTGCATATTTCATTCCTAGTATTCATTTCCTGAATTGAGTAAATAACTTTTAATATATTTCAGTTAAAACTTGAATTTATTCCAGAAAATTGTATCACTATTTATTAGTTATGGACAATTTTCTAAATTTCAAAACTCAAGAAAATAAGAATGAAAAAGCTAAATTGAGAAAGTATTCCAAGAACATACCCTTAGAAAAATGATTAATCTTTTGGAATGATCATTGGACTGAAGGGAATTGATCATTTCATTAACTATTTTTGATTTTGAACTAAAATTGTTAAATGCAAGTGACACCTCAAGTAAAAAATCACTGAACATAATTTCGATTAATGCTTATGTCATGGCAATTTAATTTACTAAATCAAATCAAAAGATACATAAATAATTTCAAGGATAAGATAAAAAATAACAAATAACGAAAAATAATAGCGATGAAGGAAAAATTAAGTAGCAAATGAAATAATGATATGAATTAAAATAAATAATTGCAGTTGCATATGAATAAATAAGTGAATTTTGTGGGTGAAAAAATATAAACCTTTTGAAAATAAGCATTAATAAGTCATTTGAATCAAAAATTAATATAAAATAATTAATTTAAATCCTTTTTAGATCAAGAATTAATTCAATACTACACTTATTTGCTAGCAAATGAAGCATAAAACTTTGCAGACATGATAAATAAACAAATAATTACATTTATTAATTTTTACTTTCCCAACTTTTATTTGTTAACTTCCAATAATCATTACAGTATTATTATTCATGCAGATAATCATAATTTTTCTCAACAAATAATTTTAAATTTTTGTTTAACTATTAAACCTGAAAATCATTTTACGAAAATGTAAAATTACCTATTAAGAATAATTGTTGTACAAATTATATACGGCGATTTTGAACATAGTTTTGTAAATTTGAACTTTTCCACTTGATTACCATTATCAATGAATAAAATTAATGGCTGCATTTGATGTGTTAAAATATCCGATGTAAATCCATTACTTATATCTATCTGTAAATTATAATAAATAAAAATTTGTTATGAATTTTGCTATTCAATTTTGTTTTTTAATCTGCTATTCATTTCTTGTATATTTTAAAATTCTGATAATCTTTTGGTTAATTTAATAAACAAATATTAAATCTTTGAACTGAAAAAAAAAAAAAAAAAAAAAAAAGAAACCCACCCGAAAATATTATTAAAATAAAAAGGTGATTATTTTCTAATTAACACCGATTTCTTCTGTCATTTTTTTTTTTTTTTCAGAAAATAAAGCAAAAATTAAAGATAAACTACTCAAAAAATTATCAAAATTCCGACAAAAAAAAATTCAAGTAATGAATTAAAAAAAAAAGAATTAAAAAAGAAAAAAAGAAAGTATTTGCAAAATAATACTCACCACAGTTGGTAAAGATGATCGTACAACAAAATTTGTCAATTCTTGAATTTCATAAATTCCTGTGAAATCAATTCGTTTCCGTTTTTCTAATGCACGAATAGTATAAATAGCATTAGAATGACTGAAATCAGGACTGATTACTATTTCATCCTCAATTTAATATATATTTTAAAATTTAATTTCAAGATTTTAAGAATGGTAATCATAAGGTATCAATCCATTCATTAATAGTTGCATTAAAAAAGTTCATTTTATCACAGAATAATACAGTGATCATAAAAATGGGAAAAATAAACATTCGAATAAATTTTAAACAAATTCAAGTGCTGATAATTTAACCAATTTTTTGCAGAAAAAATGTTTAACGATTGAAAAAAATGAAAAGTTACATAAAGCATAATCCATATCAAAGATTTTCTTTTTTCCAAGCCAAGCTTTTGATTAAATATTTACTAACTAAATTATTTACGTTAGACTTATTCATATTACCAAGCATTTTGCATCAAACGTTTCCATATAAAAGCGATAATTTCTGCTACAAATAAAATTCAAATACCTTTTCTTAATTAAATACACAAAATGATATCTCCCTTTTAAATTTTCTGCCATTTGCATAAAAATTTTAGCTTCATTACCGTTACGATCATCAAAAATGCCAACTGTTATTGCAGGTTTAATTTCGTCGAACAATTCCAATTTTCCTTTAAAAAAAAAAAAAAAAAAAACTTATTAAGTTAAAATATACAAAATCTTTCGTTAAACATTCTCAATTATAACTAGCAATCAAACACTTTGTAATCTTTCCGATAATTGCAAAATTCAATGCTAAATTCAAACCGTTCCATCCTACACTACTAATTATCTAATTATCAATTTTAATCAATCTTAAATCGCATCACAATTGAAAAAATAGCTGAAAATTTTTGCTTCTCAATTTTTTCAATTTTTTTTTTCAATTCCTGAATTTTTGTTGAAATTTCACCAATGAATAAAATGCAGATGATCTTAGTAAAATACCCGCTTTGATTTGCTTTAGTTCATCGTTCGAATGAATTTCTTGTGCTGGTGATAATATCAAACTGCAATACAATTGTTGAGGAAACATCTACAATATAAATTTGAGCATATAAAATTAAAATAAATTAAGAAAAATTCAGCTTTCAATTAATTTTCTTTCTTTTTTCCACCACATTATCATTTCAATATCACCAATGATATTAAATTTAAACTTAATATTATTGGTGGGGTGGAGAGAGAGGTTGACATTATTAGTGTCATTCCATTTGCTTCAAATATTTGAACTAGTTATTTCTATGGATTAAAATGCTTATGACCTATCATCCTCGTTATCACATCATATAAACTCATGTACTACAAGGAAGGCTATAAGCAATAATATATTATTCTATAAGAAAGTTTAAGTCAAAGGAATGATAATGATAATCATTATAAGACCAATGATAACAATATCATTTCTTTCGTTTCGTTTACTCTGCCACTTTTTCTTTTTTATTTTAAGCTCTCATTCATCCTTGAATGACAATCATGAAAATTGCGCCATAGAAATAATTAATTCAAATAATAAAATACCAATTTCATTTATTAAAATCAATCAAATAGTGAAAAACAATCAATCAGTTTTATGATTACTGATAATTCTATTATCGTTATCATAGCTCATCACACCATTTATTTTTATCTTTTCTTAAACCTTATTGACACAATATCTTAATAATTTTTAGCATATCAAAGTAATTATAGTTGTTCATGGCAAATTAAAACATTAAATTTATCATTGTAATAGAGAGCAAATTACAATTAAGCAATTTTTCAGTTAAAAATTACGTAGAAAATTAAAATTTTTTAATTTGATTACTTGCTTACAAAATGATAATAATAAACTAAACTTACAGTTGAACCCAATCGATGTAGTAGTTTGCATCACGCAATTCTTTA